AGTAACCCGAATAGTTCACTCGTTACATTCCGCTGCTGTACGCTACCGAATAGAGTCGGTCATTCAATGTTGATTTTAGTCTATTTTTCCTATTTGTCTTTTTCGATCTTAATAGTTTAGGCCGACAGTTATCACATATTGAATTTAAGAAAAAGGGTGGATCATTTTCAATTTTAATACTTAAAACCAGTTAATTAAGAAGCCATTTCTGAAAGTTAAGAAGATGATTGTACAAAAAAATATGTGTCGACCCCCTTTTATTAAATACGAATAATCCAAGTCTTCCGTGTATACCAGGCAAATCAAATATTCACAATTTTAAACGTTTCTATTCTTTAATTTGTACATAAACAAATTCATATAAAATAAATTTGCGGTTAGACAGATAGCGTCAAGCTCGTTTTGTATGGTTGATTTTCTTTTTGCTGTAACGTGCTACATTAATATTAGTATTCAATTGTAAACACTTTTTTAAAATAGATATAAATTTAACATGTTTACGAACTTATGATCCCGATTTTAATTGTCCGGTTTCAATAACGTAATCAATTACTTGAAAGTAAATATTTTTATAAATCTCGATAAACTTGGCACATTTCAACAGTAAAATATTCTATGTCTACATCTGTCTACATTATTTTGTTCAACATCATGTGAAACCTGATCGATTCATCGGTATTTAACTGTTTTACTCGGGATCCGCTTTTAACCGGAAAATACTTTTAGAACAGTTTAAAACAAACAGTAAAAAGCAAAAATATGCTAAATTAAATACAATTTTCCATGCTAAACTGTTGTAGGTTGAACAATTCTCGTCCGTTTTTCAAGTTTTTTACATCATACGACGAAGGTAGAGGTTTTATATGATACAGCGCCACCTTCTTATTAATAAACCTCGGATTTCACACAGGTGCTTTATAATTACCGGACTCGATAAAATCACGTGACTGATAAGAAATTCCAGATGCCATTTTACAACCGCGGTATCACAGATAGTAACCAAAGGGGTATTGCCGCTGAGACTATAATTGGATAAAATCATATGACTTTAGTACAGAGCTCTGCAGGCTGTTAATACATGTTAATTAGTCGTTGTTTTTCCATTTAAATATTACTTCCATGCTTAAACTAAAGTTAGAGTGCAAAAACCAATTTGTCTTCGGACGACGACGACGCCAACGTCATACCAATATATGACCGCAAAATTTTTTGCGGTCATATAAAAACCAAGTCAATTTATCAGTGTAATACGGAAAAATGAAAATTAATATTTTCAAAATTTTGCTCTGGATACTGGTTTTTGGTCATAAACAAGCTTCTGTCCAAATTTCATAAAATTCCATGAAGGTTTCATCAAGTTATTGATGTCTAAAAAAACTTTTACCAACGAACTGAACCTAAATGTTGACACATCTGACAACAGAATCTAGGATTGCTATGTCTTGCTATCGCAAATTAAATAAATGTCGCAGACTCGAAAATAAATCAATCTAACTGATAAATGAACACCCAAATTTCTTAGCACTTTATGAAAGAATAATAATTAATTAAGAAGTCATTGAGTTTGCAAGGGGAGATAATCTTAATCACCTGCCATTATATAAAGCATAAAATGGTTGATGTTGAAGATTGAACTTTTAGTCTAAGATACATGATTTTTTTGCAAGTTGTTATTGACTTTGAACTAGCTGTCAGTAACTGCAAGCACTCTCAGATCTGCACTTTGTGTCTTTACTGTTTTTAGGGATGTATAAATACCCTGCCAGTCCAGTCTGTGTTTTTGTTAGATGTTTTTCTGCTTTATATCGATCTGAATAGTTAAGCCCATTTCAACTGATTTTTTATGGTTTGTTCTTATATTCTACTGTTACACCACTGTCCCAGGTTAGAGGGAGGGTTGCCGCCTATAAACACGTCTAACCCAGCCACATTCTATATGTGCCTGTCCCAAGTCAGGAGCCTGTGGAATATAGTTGTTGTCGTTGGTTTATATATATTATATTTGTTTTTCGTAAATTGTTTTGTTTTAAATGAGGCCATTAGTTTTCTCAATTGATTTGTTTTATATTTTTCATGTTGGGGCCTTTTAAAGCCGACTATACAGTATGGGTTTTCTCATTGTTGAAGGCCGTGTGGTGAACAGTTGTCTCATTGGCAATCATACCACGTCTCCTTTTTTATATTGGACTAGAACTATACATGTACAAAATGTAGATCGCAAGATTGCTAGACAACGGTCTTTTTCCTATAAAAAATCTTTAAATTTATAGATCAGGTCATTTCTTTGTCTTACAACAGACCAATATCATGGAAATGCATGTACATTGTACGAGAAACTGTTAGTCCCCCCAAGTTTAGGAAAGAGACTGGCAAATATGTCTAAAATCAAAATTCTCTAGATATAAAAAAATAAACTGTTATCACAGAGATATTTCTCGCCTTTTTGTAATTTTGATAATGCAAATGTTGAAATTAAAATAGCAATACTTTAACATGTAAGTTATGCAAATATTCAAAGTCGATAAACCATGACTGAAGGTACATGGCTAAACAATCTCTATGGAATGAGATGTGCCAATGCTTATACAACTGCATACCAAATACCATTGACTTATTATAAGTTGTTCCCTTTAAACAAACCTAAACACAAACATTAACTTGTAAACTATGTAAAAGTTTCAGTCAATGAACCATGATCAGGGGTGGGGCTATATAATCTCCAAGGGAACGATACTTGCAAATGCCAATAAATTTGCATACCAAATATCATTGACTTAACATAAGCAGTTCATCTTAAACTGATCTAATCACAAACTAATACATGTAAACTAAGCAAAAGTTTCAAAGTAAATAGACCATGACTGAGGGGGCAGGGCCAAATATTCTCCATGGAAATGAGATGTGCTAATGCTTATACAACTGAACACCAATTAACATTAGCCTACAACTAATGGTTTCCCTTGAACTGACCTAATCACAAACTAATACATGTTAACTTAGCAAAATTTTCAAAGTCTATAGAACATGACTAAGGGGACCGAGCCAAATAATCTCCATGGAAATGAGATATGCCGTTGCTTATACAACTGCATACCAAATATCATTGACCTACTACTAGTGGTTCCCCATAAATTGACCTAATCACAAACTAATGCATGTTAACTATGAACAGTTTCAAAGTCAATAGACCTTGACTAAGGGGGCGGGCCCAAATTATCTCCATGGTAATGAGATGTGCCAATGCTAATACAACTGCATACCAAATATCATTGACCTACCACTAGTGGTTCATCATGAACTAGACCTTATCACAAACTAATACATTGTTGATGCCGCCGGAAACAGCATACCTATGTCTCGCTTTTTGACTCCCACAAGAAAAGATATAACTAAACTAAATACAACACTCGTAAAATCCCTGAGTGTGGTTGGGATTATATATAGATTTTAGCTACCAGCTCTCCCCCTTTAAATCCCTTTTAGGTATATAGAAAAAACGTACTATAAAATCTGTTCATAAAAAGCCTTTCAATATCAGGGTTATGAACCATGTAAACAGTAAAATTACAGCAACCAGTAAAACAATATTTAATAGCATTGTACCAAAGAATTAAAATTATCATACTTAGGCTAAAATTATTAACCCATTTAAAATAGAAATTATGTCATTTTTTAGTATAATGTATATGTCTCACTGTTGGAATTATAAAATTGCATACAGATTGTCAAGAATAGTGCATGAAGACCTTTTGAAATGTCCCATTACATATTTTTTCTTCAGATTTTCAGATTGTTCACTGTTGTACTCAGTGTAAATACATTATATTCCACAGATAATTCTATTTCTTCTTCAAAAAAAAAAAGGACCTCACCCCGACCAATAAAAAATAAAAATAAATAAAATAAAATCTGTATTCTTACTTTTTTACCCATATGATTTTTTTAAAAGTTAAAGATACTTTTATAATGTTGCTGAAATTACAATCTGAACAAACTATAAACAAAAATCTGTGTTTATGATTATCAGCATGACTCTTTTACACCAAGTTTCAAAATACAAACATGTATAAAATATATTTTTTAAATAAATCTTAAAGCTTTCTGCTAAGAAATAGCTATTATTATTTTGTTTACTTTTTAATATATCCATGACAACAGACACACAAGTGTCAGCATCCATTCTTACTAGTTTCCACATCCTCTCAGCATCTGAATCAGAATAGAATGGCATCCAAAAAAATCAATATTTTCATTTGATGCCAGACAAAGACGGAGATAACTGTCATTTCCCCGTTCAATTTTCCTCAACTTTCATAATTTTTGCGCATTTACTTGATAAATTATGATAATAAAATGCCATAATATATACAAAATAATATATGCAAACCAAATATAATCAGCATCTCTTACCTAATATTTTCTCTGTAGCCTGAAGTGGAATGCACGGAAAAAATTGCATTAAACTATGAAATCGAATAATATTTTACATGATTTTATGTCACAAATTGCAGCTTATGAACTGTGTATTGACATAAAAGCACGTGGACTTTATAATAAATTATGTTAATTTTTGATCAACATAAATAAATATTAGATTAGCTGTCCCAACCTACCTGACCCACGACAAAAAATAGTTCTAAGACTCAGCGGATTGATATTGCTTACAAAAATGTTACTGTTTCCAAATATAGATTGGGGCTACCAAAGAGGATAACAAGAAAATGATATACATAAATGATAATTGAATTGCTTAAATTTTTACCATTAAATATGAATATTTTTCCAATTTGTTTAAAGGTTCTGAAAACAAGACTGAAAGCAGCTTGATTAATTGACTAGACCGAATAGCCCACAAGTGCCCTGTTTGATACTGATGAAAAATATAGTGCATAAGATAAATATTTAAATGAAAAATAGAAGAATGGCTTCAGTGGTGGAAACTTTTTTTACTTTGGCTCAGTTCTGACCAGTGTAAATGGTATTAAATTTTGATTTGATCAGATGAAACAGACGCATCCCCAAATCATGTGACTGCGTTTACAGACTGTACAAAATGGCGTCTGTTGATGAGTTTGAGGTTTGTCTCGAAATGAAAATTAAAATACATGCTACAACATGTGCATTGCCCATATATAAACGAAAAATGCACAGAGCTTTTAAAATGCAACACAGTGTTATTGGCATGTCCGCAAAGGACATGTACTGGAGGTTTTCAAATCAAGTTTTCACCTTATTATAATTTGAATTCCAAAAGATTTTTTTTTAAATTTTCCTTGCCAAACTCAGTAAGCATTATCCCTGTTACATTTAAAAAGTTGGATCCTACGTAATTCCACCTTCAGACCACATAAATCTAAACCAAGGAAGATGCCAAATCAAACCAATTGCCATTGGTTTACAAGTTCTTTGCTTGGAACATTATCATGATTATAGGCACTTTTACTTTTCTACATTGGCTAGAGGTATAGGGGGAGGGTTGAGATCTCATAAACATGTTTAACCCCGCCGCATTTTTGCGCCTGTCCCAAGTCAGGAGCCTCTAGCCTTTATTAGTCTTGTATTATTTTTAATTTTAGTTTCTTGTGTACAATTTGGAGTTTAGTATGGCGTTCATTATCGCTGAACTAGTATATATATTTGTTTAGGGGCCAGCTGAAGGACGCCTCCGGGTGCGGGAATTTCTCGCTGTATTGAAGACCTGTTGGTGACCTTCTGCTGTTGTCTGTTCTATGGTCGGGTTGTTGTCTCTTTGACACATTCCCCATTTCCATTCTCAATTTTACATTTTGAATGAGGCTGGGTTTACAGTTACATGTTTGTTAGTGCTCACCACTCCCTCTAACCTGAGACAGCATAAAAATAAAAATAAACTAAAAATAAGTTGGAAAGGGCTTGGCACATCAGGTTTGCTTTTAGCACCAAAAAAGTAGCAAAAAAAAACACAAGAAACTGATCAAAGTGTACTCAAAGTTATTGAAAGCTATTAATTTCAAAGCCACATTCAACACAGAAATGAATCATGTTCTCTTGAGATTAAAATGTCAATCTGTCAGATGGACTTAGTGTATGTGTTTAATAAAATATTGTCCTCCATGAAATATTGTCCATCGGACAAAATTTCATATAAAATAATGTCTGTGGACACTATTTCATAATGAAATACTGTCCAGGACAATATTTCATTATGAAATAGTGTCCTTGTCCATGAAATTTTGTCACCTCCTTCTGGACAATATTTCACTATGAAATTCTGTCCATGACAATATTTAACTATGAAATACTTCCCATGACAGTATTTCACTATGAAATACCGTCTATTATGACATTATTTCACTGTGAAATTCTGTCCATGACAATATTGCACTGTGAAATACTGTCCATGAAAATATTTCTTAATCAAATTATTACAAAATTAGAAAAAGTACACAAGCATGCAGCATGCACATTTTTAGATTTATAACTGAAATTATTTTGAAAAGTATTTTATATTTCAAACTAATGTTTATTTGAACATATTTTAATGACGACTCAATGATTCCACAGCAATCTAAGATGAAGGAAATTTTCACAAGATATGGCATGACCCAATTTGTAGAGGAACCTACAAATTTCTGTGAAAATTCAGCATCTATCATTGATTTGGTTTTAAGTAACAACTCGAACGCAGTAGACTTGGTCCATGTAGGCCAACCGTTTCTTCCCGCCAATATCTGATATCACTCTCCTGTTTACGGTATACTAAAATTTCACAAACCGTCAAATACGTCATGTACGTGTTTCAAACGCAAGATATGGTTGTACGACAGAGGCAACTTTGACCTTTTCCGTAGGATGCTTTCAGATGTTAACTGGAACGATTTAATTGAATCTAGCAATAATGTTGATTCTCTTGTTGAGAGATTTTCCGAATTATTAATAGATTTTGCTTCGAAAGCTATTCCAACATGTCCAAATAAAACTATCACAGTCAGGAAAACCGATCCTCCGTGGATGAATAATTACATACGCAGGACTATTAGGAAAAGAAACCGTATTTATAAGAAGGCGAAAAAGGCAAATAGTCCTGAAAACAGGCTACAATTTTGCAGAAGTTGAAACAAAACTGTGAACGTAATACAGAACGCGAAGACAAAATTCTATGACAAATTGATCGAAAAGCTTAGAACGACCATGTCTTCAACCAAAGTTTGGTGGAATTTAGCCTACCACATGACCAGCTCAGAGTTCGCGAAAACTTAATTTGACCCGTTGGTCATGGGACCGACAAAGCATGATTATTTGTCAGTCCTACAAAATTTTAGCCAGTCCTACAAAATCTGTCAATTTTATCCTGAAATAAAATTAGTAACATATTTTATCGAAAAATAACTTTATTAATATTAGTTTTATTCTTCGCACCCACAGGCAAATTAACAATGAAGGACCAGTTCAGGTCTTCTGATTGTTCTCATTTAAAGTCATCTTCACTATCCATTTCATCATCTGAATCACTTTCTCGGCTGTTACAGTATTTGTTTGCTCCATTGTAGGGTTCAATCGCCGATTGTTTGCCAGGGATGGCTCTATGAACAAATTTAGTAGGCCACGTGTAGATCGACGCTTTGGTTTGTTTATAATAAATCCGTAAACCAGTACCGGAAATTGGCAGCGGGTACATCTGATAACCGATGTAAACACTTATTTGAAACAGTTGCGGTACATCTAATAACCGATGTAAAAAAGTGCCGAAATATGCACTATAACGGCCGTTTTTACATCGGTCATCGGGACCGGCACTAGCCTTCAAAATACTGGTCCGAGCCTCATTTTGACCGACAGGACTGACCATTTTCGTGAACTCTGCCAACTTAAAATTTCGAGACATGAATATCCCGCCTATCAATTTAAACAGCTCTGTAATTGATGACGATTAACAAAAGGCTGAGGCATTCAATGACTATTTTGCGTCACAGTCTAATATCGACGATAGCAATAAATTACTGCCTAAGGACTACATCCCTCCAGATTGACAATTAAGTAGTATCGTTTTTGAAACGTACGAAGTTAAAGACATTATTCAAACTCTTAATGTTAACAAGGCTTCGGGGCCTGACACTATAAGGGGTCGTATTCTCAAGCCGGTTGCCGATATTATAGCAAAACCATTACGCGCTATTTTCAACTTAAGTCTTAGAACAAAATTGTTCCCATCCGCATGGAAGCTAGCTAATGTAATTCCTTGTTTCAAGAATGATGATAAAAGCATCCTTAGTAATTATCGTCCAATATCTCTTCTCTCGGTGATGAGTAAAGTTTTCGAGCGTTGTGTATACAAGCACGTAATTAACTTCATACGAGTTTTGATTACCGAGCACCAGTCTGGTTTCATGCCTAACGATTCGACAAGAAATCAGCTCTTATATATTTGTAATGTTCTTAGCAAAGCCTTAGACGAAGGCAAAGATATTAGGTTCATATTTTTCGATATAAGTAAAGCCTTCGACCGTGTGTGGCATAAGGGATTGCTCTATAAGTTGCAAAAGATGGGAATTGTTGGTGACCTTCTCCTGTGGCTTAATGATTACTTGTCGAACAGAAAACAAAGGGTTGTCATAAACGGAGTAGAATCTTCCTGGGCTGATGTAAATGCTGGAGTACCCCAGGGTTCAATTCGTGGGCCCTTGTCGTTCCTCATTTATATTAATGACATTATTAACGAAGTAAGCTGTAAGATTAAACTATTCGCAGACGATACATGCATTTATGCTATTGTAGATAATCCATTAGTTTCATCGATTTCTTTAAACTACAACTTGCGTAAAATAAATAGCTGGGAGGATAAATGGTTAGTAAATTTTAATCCGTCTAAGACGGAATCCATTGTATTCTCATGAAAAAGCAAACCAGGTTATCATCCACCTTTGAATATGAATGGCATCATAATAAAAAGAGTTCAAACTCATAAGCACTTAGAATTAACTTTCTCGAGTGATGGAACATGGAATCATCACATCGAAAAAATTACATCAAAGACATTACCCCGACTTAACTTTCTGCGTCGCCTAAAATTTAGGCTTGACAGAAGATCTCTTGAAAATATCTATTTTAGCTGCGTACGCCCATTACTTGAATATGTTGATGTTGTCTGGGATAACTGTCCCGAATACTTAAAAGCCAAGCTTGAACATATAAATTACGATGCTGCAAGCATCGTTACTGGTGCAACAAAACTCACCAGTCTACGCTTACTTTTGGCAGAATGTGGTTTGGAGACTCTTCAACAGCGAAGAGATAAGCATAAACTTTTACTTTTTCATAATATGGTGAATGGAAAGACCCCATGTTATCTAAATGATATCCTACCCGATCAGTTTAGAAACATACACCAGTACAGAACTCGTTACGCAAATAATTTGCCATCAGTACCCTGTCGAACTACTTATTATATGAAAAGTTTCCTTCCATCAACAGTTCGACTTTGGAATAGCCTTCCCCCAGATATAAAAAATGCTGGTTCTATCGCTCCACTAAAAGCCTTTCTGAAGTTAAATCATTCTATTCCAAATTATTATTATGCAGGCAGTAGACTAGGTCAGTTATATCATGCCAGAATCCGTACCGAGAGCAGTAGTCTTAGAGATCACTTGTATCAGAAAAATTTGGAATCAGACCCATTTTGTAAATGTAAACAGATAGAAACCTCGGAACACTTCCTTCTAAACTGTCCCATTTATCATCGAACTCGTGGAGCCCTTTTTGTTAACCTAGTTGGTACACTTAACTAAGTTACGTTACTTAGTGGTGATCCGAACATTACAGATATAGACAATAAAAACAACTTTCTTATTGTCCAAGACTATATATTGAAAACTAAGAGATTCACAAAATAATTCTTGTTGGCTCAACAACATGTCACCCAATATTAAAAAATACTATCTGCATTATATGTTAATTTCAATTACATTTGATTACTTTTTCTATGATATTATGTTATATGATTGTACCACATTTTCTGTCCGTTGTTATTAATTTTGCCGTTCAAAAGGAGAGTAATTTGTATAAGTGACTTGTCACTTGTTTTCCAATCCATCCATTTATCTGTTTCTAAATAAAAATATTGTTTACACACTATTTTAACATAAGCTAGTTTCAAATTTGCATAGATACTTTATAAATGGTTAATTATAGATTAAAGAATTGTCTAATGTATGTTCCAGTGTACTTCATTATACTGCATACATGGTATAAATATAAGTAATGTACTGACAATCACTTATATATGTTCAAAATTGAATGTACTAATAGTATTCCATAATACTAGATTGATAAACAGAGTTTTGGAGGTACAGGAGTACAATGTAACTGAAATATTAGTTTGTGTTTATTTGTTATTATCAGACAAATAAAATATCATTATTCATCATGATACATGTATATGTTGATAACCTCCCCTTCATGAGACAAAATTTCATGACAATTTGTACATGTCTATATTGTCCATGTACATTTGTACATGTCTATATTGTCTCAATACAAACAAAATATAACCTCCCTTTAACAGGACAAAATTTCATAGTATTCATCTGTGAAATATTGTCTATATACAGACAATATTTTACAATGAAAACTTGTCCTTCTCTGGACATTTTATCATAGATGAGGACAATATTTCATGATACATGGCAGGGCTCGACAATAACTTTTTTTTTCAACTTGTCCAATAGGACAAGTAGTACATACCAAAACTTACTTATCTGAATGGATATAGTATATAGTAAGTTATAAAAGGTGCCAGCATGGCAAATTGAACTATTAGCTTCTGGCTATTGACAGGCACATAAAAATGTGGTGGGTTAATCATGTTTGTGAGCAATCAACCCTCCCCTAACCTAAGAAAAGGGTGTAACAGCAACAGAAGTCTATTTTAGATGTATCCCTTTCTTAAATTTCCTTATCATACATTGTATGTATGAAATTGGCTGCCTGCATATTCAAATAAATTAACATCTAAGCCAATGATTTTTTTTAGATGAAAGGGGTTTATACCCTGAAAAAGAACAGTTTACCTTAAAAATTAACTATTAAATATAATTTAAATGCTATTTGAATGATTAGTGGAAGTATACCTTTAAGATAAAAAAATTGATTAAAATATTTTTTTTTCTTTTTTGCAAATATTGGTCTCATGTTTGGTTCGATTCTGTTTATTTTCAGACTACAGAGGACAGTACTGAAGAAGATGAATCAGAAGATGAAGAGTCAGACGAAGTAAGATGACTGACAAACCATAGTTCTAAATATTTTATTTAAGAAATAATTTGTTCATGCCATGCTTTATCCTCATTTTAAGATGGGTAGGCATAGTTCTTGTCAATACTTTTAAACTGAGCTTTATTAAAGTGTGAAATGTTGACAAATATAATGTCTACCCATTTTAAAATGAGCAAATAGCATGGCATGATAGAATTATTTTGATTCTAATTGGAAAATTTAGAACTTTTGTACTCTGAAGTGGACCTAAGTGGACTAAGACACATTTGAAAGGCAACCATTTTGAATTGATGTAGGCAAAACCTTATAGAATATAAAAATAAGGAGATGTGGTATGATTGCCAATGAGACAACTATCCACCACAGTTCAAATGAAGTGGATGTAAGCTATTATAGGCAACTGTAACAACAATGAGAAAAACCCATCTGTAAAGTCTTCTATTAAAGGCTCTGACATGAAAAATATGAAACAATTCAGTTGAGAAAATTAACAGCCTAATTCATAACAAAACAATTTACGAAAAACAAATTTGACAGACATGAACCAACGATAACCACTAAACTACAGGGATCCTGACTTGGAACAGGCACATATAGAATGAGGTGGGGTTGGGCTAACCTAGTACAGTGGAGTAACAGTACAACATAAGAACAAACTATAAAAGTCAGTTGAAAAGGGCTTAACTCAACAGATCGATACAAAGCAGAAAAACAACCAACAGAAACACAGACTGGACTTGGCAAGGTATTTATACATCCCAACAACAAAAAAGAAACTAAGTACAGATCCGAGAGTACTTGCAGTTACTTACAGCTACATGAACTTCAAAGTAAATGACAACTAATAAAAAATTCATGTATCTAAGACTAAAACCATTTCATGATTAAAACTCACATTCCATATAAAGTAAATTGAAAAAGGTATGAAGTTTTTCTTAATTTAACGGTTAAGGCCAAACATTTCTTATTATAGGAAAAGGATGACCTATACACACATGATAATTCATTTTCATGGACACCTGCAGTTTTTACACTGAATTTTGGTTTATCTCTGTAGCTGTAATTCTGTCCAGCTTACAGATGAATGTGTAATATATTTTCAGGAAGAAGAACCAAAGTTGAAGTATGAAAGAATTAGTAATGATTTAGTAGATATACTAAAGAAAGACTGTATAAGCTGTTTAGCTGTGCATTCAAAGGTATGTCAAACATCCAGTCTTGGTTTGGTACATAATTTTGGTCTCGAGGGAGATAATTAGGGATTTCAAGATTATGACAAAAATTCAAATAGAAATTTTTTTTTAGAAGTTTTTCTTATGATATATGTATATGAGTATGAATAAAAGGAGACATGTGGTATATGAGATAACAACAGGACAACAATAAGAAATTGTTAGACATCCAGAGGTCAACTGACTGTCTTTTTTTCCTTTCAAAGTTGCTATGTCTATATAAATATTTGTTAGTAATTATAGTTTTAAAAACTAGAAATGATAACACAATGACTATAGTTATAGAACCACTAATACAGCACAGTCAGAAAGAACATACAAGAAATAGAACATATTTTAAACAAAATAGTTCCTTACGCATAGCTGTAACTTTGTCAATAAGTAAAATATTTGGGTAATTTTCGTATCAAATTAAAAGCTTAAGGACTTAGGATCACTGTAGAACCCTTGTTCAATTTTTTTTATTGATTGATAAAAAAAAATATGAAATTAAGATAGGTGGGCATATTTGCCCTGTTGCTTAGTTCAGAAGTACCTGTTTTTGTACTCCCAACTTCCGGGAACCAGTGCGCTCTAATATGCAATTAAAGGCATGTTGATTTTTTTCAACACAAGTCAGGATAATGTATACTTGAAATGACTATCACTATATTTGAACTTAGGTATGAATGCTTGAAGTTGCAGATTTTAACATAGAAAGCAAGGGGGCTATGAATAAGTGGTGTTATTCTTTTATGACGTTTACAAAATACTGTCATATATAAAACAAGGTTTGAAAAAGAGAAGGCCCAGTAAGACCCCTTTTTGGCCCCAAAATATAACATTTCAAACATTTGTTAAAAATGTAAACTTTTAGCTATTTATTGGAAAGTTGAATACTTTTGTTACATAAATTTGGGCTGTTTTTGACAATATAATGCACATGCATCAGGTACTAGCATCAGTAATTCATGCAAAATTACTGAAATCTTCACAATTTTAGCATTTGTGCTTATTTTTAGACGGTTTTATCTGAAATGCAAGTGGCCACACTTGTGTTCAGTCTTAATATTTAAATATGTGTTGTATTTGATGATGATACATAACATATATAAAGGTTGAGACTGAACACGAATGTGGCCACTTCCATTTTTGACAAAAACCATCTGAAAAGTGATATTTTGTAGCATATTAGATAGATTTTTCATATTTAAGCTTGAATTAAGGCGTTTTTAATGACCAAATCAGTTCAAATCTTTTACATAAACTAATTGAAATGTCAAAAATCTTTCATCAGATGTTCTTTAAATTTTAGGCCAAAATTAGCCCTTACTGGACCTTCTCCTTAATAAAATATTCATATAATTTCCTGTAAATGAAATACCTTTCTATCACATTAAAAAATTTGGCATAATGATGTCTGTCTATTAAAGATAATATTTATTTCCATCACAATGTTTATTATTTTCATAAAGTTTTTAACAGACAAAGACTATACAGTATATTTTTTGTACAGTTTTTAGCTGCAGGAACACACTGGGGCATGATATATATTTTAGACCACATTGGATGTCATATCAGGGATACAGAAATTACAGCAGTAGGTACATTCTAAAATCTTGACTACTTTCTTTGTAATAATGTAGTATTTTTTTTAATTCAGATTTTACTATAAAAAAAATCCAAATTGATATATATTGTAATTAAATCTTAATTCACATTTATGAAATGTGAGTGAAAACACACAAATGTTGTTTTGGAAATAATAATAGCATTTCTATGATAAAACAATAGTCACAACACATTATAATTGACGAGATAACCATTCTAACAATAGTCAAAACACATTATAATTGACAAGATAACCTTTCTAACAATAGTCACAACACATTATAATTGACGAGATAACCTTTCTAACAATAGTCACAACACATTATACTTGACGAGATAACCATTCTAACAATAGTCACAACACATTATAGTTGACGAGATTATCCTTCTAACAATAGTCCACACATTATAATTGATGAGATAACCCTTCTCACAATACATTATAATTGACGAGATAACCTTTCTAACAATAGTCACAACACATTATAATTGACGAGATAACCTTTCTAACAATAGTCACAACACATTATACTTGACGAGATAACCATTCTAACAATAGTCACAACTCATTATAATTGACGAGATTATCCTTCTAACAATAGTCCACACATTATAATTGATGAGATAACCCTTCTCACAACACATTATAATTGAAGAGATAACCTTTCTAACAATAGTCACAACACATTATAATTGATGAGATTACCCTTCTAAACTCATACTCATTTTGTGGATTTTACTTTTCTGTGTTTTTCTTGATCAGTGGTTCATAGATTTTGAGTTTGTGGTTTCAGACATTGTGAATAATAAACTCATCATAGATACCAGGGTTAAAATTTTGTACGCCAGACACACATTTTGTCTACAAAAGACTCATCAGTGAAGCTTGAATAAAAAAGTAGGAAGTTAAAGGGCATAACAAATCATTGTAAAATAGAAAGTTCTTTGGATAACAAATGTGATGGCCTTGAGGATATAAAAAACACAGAAATTGTTAAAGCAATAAATGAACATATACAGTATATGAGATCAATTTAATGTTTTATCTTGGGCCAACTATACAAAGTCAGGTTAGTTTGCTTTAATTCCTTTATAATGTGAAGTAAATCACTATTAAGATATTACAACATTCTAAAATCTTAATGTTTCAGGCTATTGAGGTAAAATATATGTGAAAAATCATGTCTTCTGTGTAAATCTAACCTCTATTCCACAAAATACACAACACATAAAACAAGAAGTCACTTTTGATATCAGATTAAAGGAGAAGTTTGGATTAATATCAAATAGAAAATTTTACAAAAATTACCGGTAATTATGTTGCTAATTGTTTGCTCTGCCTGACTATGTTTCATATAAAAGTAAGAAAGAAGACCGTCAGAAATTTAAAATGTATTTCATGTTGAAAGTTAATTAGAAGTGAAAGCATTTTATTTCAAATGAAAAAAGTTACCAGCAAATTTTATCATGTTTGTAATACCATCATATTTACTGTTGCTATCCATGAAAGTGATAGTTTGTTCTGCTCAGTACGGGTATTTAACTTCTGTTTTAATTGTTTGCTTACTTAACTGCTTAAGCTACATACAGTTTGAAATACATAAAGATGGTTCTGCACTGAAAATAAGAATTACTACAGTTTAGAGATTTCTAAACAAGAACAAACATTAAAAGTTAAGATACCAAAAGCACATGCTGACCTGTACGGAGGGATTTCTAAATAGCACATACCGACACCAAAAACAAACATTAAAGGTTAAGATACCCAAAGCACATGCTGTCCTGTAAGCACATTCCAATATCAATGCTTTCCACATTTTATGTGCAGTCTTTTAAGATAATTGCTTCACACCTAGTAAATATCCGATACATATGTAATTGGCAGGCTACAATCTTTTTTAAATGTGTAACCATTATACTTTAAATACGACTTCTATGATATGTGAAAGATGCAGAAAATTTATCTTTTACTGACATCCATGTAACTATGTTGGCTTATTTTATGTTAACTTTTGTTTATGGGGCTGATAGCGAATGCAATTTATAAAGAGAATTCATTTATTGTAAAAGAAAGAACATAATTTTAATTTGTTGGGACATTATCAACCAAAACTACTATAAAAAATACATATTAGAATTCAAATTCTAGCAGGGAAGTTTGTTATGTATTTCAGCATTCTACAACTGTTAATCAGATTAGTATAGATGACCATGGGGATTATGTAGCCAGCTGTTCTGATGATGGAAAGGTACGATTATTTCACTACCAATTTAATATAGGATAATTTTGCAGTGTTTTTCCCTTTATGAATGATGAATAAGCTTTACTTTCATGTAAAATTTAAAATGATTAAAAGTGGAAAATGTGTAAGATTTAATGAACTTTTTTTGTTTACAAAATATATTGTGATGTCTTCGCAATTCTATAACCTTGTATTAAAGTAATTTTGAACATATGATACACACACAGAGAATAAAATATTTGTACTACCATTGTTTTTTTTAAATAAGTATGGATGCAGTTATTTGGATCCTTTTAAGTCATGTGATTAATGATTCAGTATATGTTGACATTGTCTTCTATATATTTGCATCCTGTTAAGTCATGTGATTAATGATTCAGTATATGTTGACATTGTCTTCTATATATTTGCATCCTGTTAAGTCATGTGATTAATGATTCAGTATATGTTGACATTGTCTTCTATATATTTGCATCCTGTTAAGTCATGTGATTAATGATTCAGTATATGTTGACATTGTCTTCTGTATATTTGCATACTTTTAAGTCATGTGATTAATGATTCAGTATATGTTGACATTGTCTTATGTATATTTTTAGGTGCTAATTACTGGTTTTTACACAGCAGAAAACAACCAATCATTAAATTTTGACAGACCAGTGAAAGCTGTTGCCATGGACCCTTTGTTTTATAAGCATGGAAGTGGTAAACATTTTGTTACAGGAGATGATAAGGTAGTGTACTATTAACATTATAATGGTTAAGTTTGTATTACATCCTTGGGACTTAAATGGGACCTAGTAAAGGCAATTTAAAATCTGATCTATTGGTGGGTGCTAAGACTATTATGTTCAGTGAAAAAGTAAGAGAAATTTTAAGAAATGCCTCTAAAGATGATTACCCCATTTTCCTTCCCTGGGTACCATGTATGTTATAATGGAATAGTCCTTCCCTGGGTACCATGTATGTTATAATGGAATAGTCCTTCCCTGGGTACCATGTATGTTATAATGGAATAGTCCTTCCCTGGGTACCATGTATGTTATAATGGAATAGTCCTTCCCTGGGTACCATGTATGTTATAATGGAATAGTCCTTCCCTGGGTATCATGTATGTTATAATGGAACAGTCTGTAGATACTGTGTTTGAGTTTGACATATACTTTTATTGATTTTTTTGAACTTATGTAAAATGCTTTGAAGTAACTTATTCAACGGGGCTCTATACAAATTCTGGTAATGTATTGTATTGTTTAAAATCTGTTTTACAAAAAAATTGTATTTCAGTTGGTACTGAATGAAAAAGGAGGTTTATTCAGCAGACATCGGACAACTGTTCTACATCAGGGAGAAGGACCAATTAGAGAAATTCAGTGGATTGGAGATTTCATAGCTTGGGCAAATGATCTGGTAATTATAGATATGTTTCTTAACTTTGAGTATGCAGGATATAAATATATAGTATGGTTAGTTGTCAGAAAGACATCAACAATCCAACACAACATGGCAAGAAAATGAACATGTAAAATCAAAAGAATTTAACTCTCAGTATTGTCATAAAACCTCTTTTATATTATAAATCCTAATACTTCTAAAAAGCTAAAAGGAAAAAAAATCAGTAATTTACTTTAGAAACATTTCATGAGAGCATCAACCACTGAGCTAAATGGTTGTCAACCCTAACATATGTCATCAACATTTTGGCTAAATTAACATAGAGCAAAGAGTTCAATCAAATTTTCTGCAAGCAAGTTGTGAGTGAATATCTTCTTGTACTTTCTCCTTTACTTGATCATAGGTTAAATAAAGTTTAGCTGAAAGATTTTGTATATCAAGGTCAGGTTTCTTTGTTTTGTTATGTTTTGTTTAATTCTATATGAAAATAAGGAGATGTGATAGGATTACCAATGAGATAACTATCCACCAGAGTTGAAATGACGAAGATATAAGCAATTATAGGTCATTGTACGGCCTTCAACAATGAGAAAAAACATATGTCAAATTGTCAGCTATAAATTGATTGATTGATTAATGTTTAACGCCACTTTCAGCACTATTGTGCTATTTCCTGGCGGTCAGTTTTTATTGGTGGAGAAAGTCGTAGTGCCCGGAGAGAACCAACACCCTTTGGTAGGAAAACTGACAATCAATTCAATTAAGATAAGAGAAAAGTGAACCTGCCACATGCTGGATTCAAACTCACAACCTTGGTAGTGACAGGCTAGTTGTACAGTGTACAGTAGTTCGACTACTTAGACCACTTGGCCACCAAGGCCCCTTCAGCTATAAAAGGCAACGACATGAAAAATGTGAACATTCATAGAAGATAACTAATGTCCTAATTTGTAAAAATGAAATTTATGAAAAACAAATATGACAAACAGTTATTAACAACAACCACTGAATTACAGACTTCTTTGCTTTGTTTTTTTTTTACTTTGAATGTGCCTGAAGTACTGTGAAAGTACTTTTATTCGTGGGGAACCAATTTTCGTGGTTTTCGTGGATAACTTTATCCACGAATTTAAGTGTCCAACGAAATATAACAACTGTTGTCCAAATCAAGACATGAAAAGATTCCCATGTAGGTTTGACTACCAATATGATCTAGAGAATACATTGAATATCGGCAAATCTGAGACTACTATAATAGTAGTCTCAGGGCAAATGCACTATGAACTACAACTGCAGGCAGAATTATACCCATTTAATCTTTAAAAACCTAAACTGTACAACTTCTGATCTTTTAATTCTCATAAAAAATATTTTTGATCGATGAAAGTCAAATTTCCGGTGATGATATCCTGTGATAAAGTGTTCATTTTATATCCTCATAATTCTTGTACGGGAAATAACAACTTCATGATGGGCTTGCTTTTGATAAGAATTAATTTTACAATTCAATGTACATTTACTAGTACAGCATTTGTTTATGTAACTGTTTTCTTTAAGTGACATGTTTATGGCCTAACTAACACCTTTGATGGTCTTTAATCTGTTGATCACTCGATCTCAAGTTAATAAGTGTCATCACTACACGGGTGCAACAATTTGCAATTTCCTTCAATCGAGACAATTTGTAATCTTCGTTTCTAATGGCTCCAATTCTACACTATTTGGGGTTTTTTTTGTAGAAAACTAAAATCCATGAAATTAAAAACCCACAAACACGTAACTTTTGCTCTAACCACGAAAATTGATACCCACGAATTAAAGTACTTTCACAGTAACTCATTACAAAACATGTACTGAATACAAGTAAAAGTTATTTTATTTTCCAATATAAACATTTTGATGCATTATGTATATACTATTTTTGTTTTCCATGTTATTTCTCACTTTTTTATCAATAGGTTTCCAACTTATTAGAACTGTTGTTGATAATGTCATTGATATTAAGTTACTCCATGTAATATAGCTATGATTGACTTTCTTTGATAAGGGTGTGAAGATATATGATATGAGCACAAGATCAAGAATAACACACATACCAAGGGAGCATGCGTAAGTTACTCTAAAACATTTTTCTTTGTTATTATTGTGAACATGCTGTTATTGTAAAACAATACAGTATTATATGTGTTTCATAGTGCTGCATAGTAGCAAAATAAATTCCATTGATGAAGCATGAGATTTAACAGCATTGCAGGTGGTTTGGGAGTACAATGAATTTTTAGCTGCTTTACTTATAGACTTGGATAAGAATTACTAAGTAGCAGAAACAGTAATTCCTTGATTAAATGACAGTTTATAAGTTTTACAGATAATTTAGAGTAAGAGTTGCATTTTAACATTATAACAACTGTTTGAGAGTTACATTGACCTTTTAAATGGTTACAAGCAACAGTTTTTCATAAAATTGTATGTATTCAGCAGTAGCTCTTTGTAAGAAATGTTATGAACACATGAAATAATTCTTAAAATATAGTGAATTGCATTTTTTGTGAGATATTTATTTCAAGACATTTTATTTTGAAGATATCGACCAGAGTTGTATCGATGTAATTTGTGTTGGAAAGATGAAAAGACTTTATTGATTGGGTGGGCAGATAGAGTTAAGGTATTAACATTAATAACTGATAATGTATAATTGTTTTCGGTCAACATACACTTTTACATTGACAGAAGCAGTCACAGGTGAGACACAAGTTTCCATGGAAAAATTACAATTTTTTTTAATTTGCTGAGGCCTTTGAATTTAGAGTGCAGTCCATGTAGAAATTATGGTATTGCTGACAAAAACTAGGGCTGGCAATATTCTGTCCCAAATTCCTGACTTATTAGTCCAGATTACTGATGATGTCATTAAATAGAATGGTATCAGTAGTCTATGACCAGTTCTTTCTTTTTTTTAACTCAGGAGCCTCATTCTAAATACTTTCAAAAATGGTGAATGTTAACATTCAAGATTAGCCGTAACCTCCATTGTTTACTGGCTTTTAATACCATTGGCTAATCACCTAAGTAACTGGCTAACAACTAATATAAATTCCAGCACAACCACACACTCAAATTACTTTTCCACACCAACATTTATTACTGTGCTGCTATGAGAATATGCCATCATTCAAGTACTGTAAATTTAGAAATTATTGCGTGCATTTATTATTGCTATTTTTGAAGAATTAACAAAAATGGGAGTTTAATTATTGCTATTTTAGGAAAAGCTTCATACATATATATGTATCATATATCAGAATGAGAGTTCTTATTATTATACGACCGCAAAAAAATTTTGTGGTCGTATATTGGTATGACGTTGGCGTCGTCGTCGTCGTCGTCGTCGTCGTCCGGCGTCGTCGTCGTCGTCGTCGTCTGGCGTCGTCGTCCGAATACATATTGGTTTTCGCACTCTAACTTTAGTTTAAGTGAATGGATCTTTTTGAAATTTGACCATAAGGTTAAATACCATAAAAGGAAGGTTGGGATTGATTTTGGGGGTTATGGTACCAACAGTTAAGGAATTAGGGGCCAAAAAGGGGCCAAAAATGAGCATTTTCTAGTTTCCAGACAATAACTGTGGAACGGTGTATGGATCTCTCTGAAATTATACTACAAGTTTCCATACCACAAAGGGATGGTTAGGATTTGCTTTGGGGGGTTATGGCTCAAACCGTTTAGGAATTAGGGGCAAAAAAGGGGGAAAAACAAGGTTGTCCTGGTTAATGGACAAATACTTTAGTACAAAACATATTTAAAGCAGTGTAAGGGAGATAAATCAAATACATCATTGAAATTATCTCCCTTACACTGCTTTTAAATTATGTATAAAGTAATGGTTAATGAACAATAAAGATAATCTAAAACAGTGTAAGGGAGGTAATCCAAATACAACGTTTTGGTTACTTCCCTTACACTGCTTTTAAATTATGTTTAAAGAAATGCATATTTATAAAGGAAGACCAGTAAAAATATCTGCAAATGTTTTCATCTTTTTTTTTTTACAAAAAAATCCATATGAAAGATTTGACACTATATTTTTATTAATTCTATTATAAAATAGATTAAGTTAGCACTATGGTAAATTTAAATGGGTAATTATGGTTGCCAACTCCATTGGAAATTTGAATTGAGATTACGACCATATCTTGAGGGAAAGAATTTTTTTGGGGGAAAAAGGGGGGGGGGGGATAAAAAGAAATTGTGGGGGGCCAATTTTTTCTCATTTCAGATTTCAGAAATTAAAAAGAATTATTCTTCAAATATTATTTTTTTTTCAAATTTCAAATATTGAAAAATTTCAAGAAGTAATCTTTAATTGCACAGTATGGCGCATTAGATTTGTAAAATCTTTGATCACATTTATTTATTTGTTATGCCGAATCTAACAGTGTATTTAGATTTTTAATTTTGGGTCCAGTTTTCAAATTGGTCTACATTAATGTCCAAAGGGTCCAAAATTAAACTTTGTTTGATTTTAGCAAAAATTGAATATATGAGGTTCTTTGATATGCTGAATCTAAACATGTATTTAGATTTTTGATTTTTGGCCCAGTTTTCAAGTTGGTCCAAATTGGGGTCCAAAATTAAACTTTGTTTGATTTCAACAAAAATTGAATATATGGGGTTCTTTGATATGCTGAATCTAACCATGTATTTAGATTTTTTATTTGTGGACCCCGTTATCTAATTGGTTCATATTGAGGTCAAAAGGGTCCAAAATTAAACTTTGTTTGATTTCATCTAAAATTGAATTATTGGGGTTCTTTGATATTCCAAATCTAACCGTGTATTTAGGTTTTTAATTTTGGGTCCTGTTTTTTTAAATTGGTCTACATTGAGGTCCAAAGGGTCCAAAATTAAACTTAGTTTGATTTTGACAAAAATTTAATTCTTGGGGTTCTTTGATTTGCTGAATCTAAACTTGTGTTTAGATTTTTGATTATGGGCCCAGTTTTCAAGTTGGTCCAAGAAAGGGTCCAGTATTTAAACTTTGTTTGATTTCAACGAAAATTGAATATATGGGGTTCTTTGATATGCTGAATCTAAACATGTATTTAGATTTTTGATTATGGGCCCAGTTTTCAAGTTGGTCCAAATTGGGGTCCAAAATTAAACTTTGTTTGATTTCAACAAAAATTGAATATATGAGGTTCTTTGATATGCTGAATCTAACCATGTATTTAGATTTTTTATTTGTAGGCCCCGCTATCAAATTGGTTCATATTGAGGTCAAAAGGGTCCAAAATTAAACTTTGTTTGATTTCATCGAAAATTGAATTATTGGGGTTCTTTGATATGCCAAATCTAACCGTGTTTTTAGATTTTTAATTTGGGTTCCGTTTTTTAAATTGGTCTTCATTGAGGTCCAAAGGGTCCAAAATTAAACTTAGTTTGATTTTAACAAAAATTGAATTCTTGGGGTTCTTTGATATGCTGAATCTAAACATGTGTTTAGATTTTTGATTATGGGCCCAGTTTTCAAGTTGGTCCAAGTTGGGGTCCAAAATTAAACTTTTTTTGATTTCAACAAAAATTGAATATATGGGGTTCTTTGATATGCTGAATCTAACCATGAATTTAGATTTTTTATTTGTGGGCCCCGCTATCAAATTGGTTCATATTGAGGTCAAAAGGGTCCAAAATTAAACTTTGTTTGATTTCATCAAAAATTGAATTATTGGGGTTCTTTGATATTCCAAATCTAACCGTGTATTTAGATTTTTAATTTTAAGTCCCGTTTTTTAAATTGGTCTACATTAAGGTCCAAAATTAAACTTAGTTTGATTTTAGCAAAAATTGAATTCTTGGGGTTCTTTGATATGCTGAATCTAAACATGTGTTTAGATTTTTGATTATGGGCCCAGTTTTCAAGTTTGTCCAAGTTGGGGTCCAAAATTAAACTTTGTTTGATTTTAACAAAAATTGAATATATGGGGTTCTTTGATATGCTGAATCTAACCATGTATTTTGATTTTGGACATTGGACCATAATAGGTAAATTAAAAAAATTCAAGTTCTTAGACCACATTCTTTCTGTGTCAGAAACCTATGCTGTGTCAAATATTTAATAACAATCCAAATTCAGAGCTGTATCAAGCTTGAATGTTGTGTCCATACTTGCCCCAACTGTTCAGGGTTCGACCTCTGCGGTCGTATCAAGCTGCGCCCCAGCGAAGCATTTTATTGTGATACTCAAGGAGTAGCATTATTCTTATTAATAAAAACCTCAAATTAATTTCTGAATTTACAGTAGCAAGATGAAACACAAAAATAAACATTTTTTGGAAAGCAGTGAAATCCAGATTATGCAAAGAACTAAATAAAATACATATAAAGGATGCGAGTTGCATGTATAGTAAGTTTGATGTTAAAAGATTGTTTAAGGGAATATGGGAATGTACATTTATAATAACTGATAAGATTTATAGTGTTAATTCTATACTGACATATGTTTAGGTGTGTGTAATAAAGGATAGAGTTCATGATGATGCTAGAAACTTACCCAGTAGATATGTGGAAATTGGTAAGTATTACATAGTAAATATAAATGAACATTTTGGACTTCGTTTATAGTTAAAAAATTTAATCTTTGAATAAAAACAAATATTGACTGACTGCAAATGCCAGCTGTCAAACTTTGATATAGTCAATGACTTCATTTAAAAAAAAACATATATATGTGGATGTTGTAGAAAGTTTCCCTGTGCTTGAGGTGTATGCTCTTCTGTATTTTTAAAGTTATGGTGTATTTATTCTTGAGAACTTCTCTTATGTGTGCCACATCATTCTCTTAATTTTAGGCTAGTTTGTGTACTAAAATTTTTATGAGACACACACCACCTATTCTTGGCCCCCATTCCTATCCATGTTAAATTTTTCACTTCCAATTGATATCTTAATTACTAAAATATATTCTACATTGTTTGATATATACATCTATGCATAGGAACTATTTTGTTCTAAATATGTACTACTTTCCAGTAGGTTATTTTTTTACTGGGCCTGATTTGGTGGTGTTACATCTTACAAAGTCTATCTGAATCATTTTGCGAATAATTCCACTCAAACCAGTGCTAAGGGTCATCTTAAACTTGCAGTGAGGTGAGCAGGTTTTTGGAAATCTGTATTTAAGGCCTCACTGTGACTTTGAGATGAAGAACAGCAATAAAAGTGCTGTTCCTTTGCTTTTTGTGTGTCTTTTGCTGTGTATGCACTGACTTTGAGTCATTGATGGATGCCACATATCCTTTGTTTTTCTATTATATGGCATGCACATGTCTTAGTCTGGTTTCTTAAGAATGCAGATTGGGTCACGCAGGTTATTTGGTGTGTAGAGTTTGGTCACACACTCTTTTTTAAAATGTCTATCATATGGTATTTTTACTGCTGTAGATGCTTGGCAATAGTTTATGGCATGAATTAACTTTGATTGTAAAATGTATTTGCATCAACTAGGGCCACAACCTTTCTGGAAAATACAAGGTATACAAATAAATTGTGGAAATTGCCAACTGTAGCTATCAACATTCTATGTGAAAGGAGAGAAAACGTGTAACAAAAACACCAACCTCTAAGGTAAATTCAAAAGGGGAGGCCATAAAAACTGACAAAATTAAACGTTATTAACCATCGGAACTAGTGAAAAACAACTGTCACATCCTGACTTGGTACAAGCATTTTTGAAGAAAATGGTGGATTAAACCTGGTTTTATAACTAGCTAAACCTCCTAATTGTATGACAGATGTTTAGAGAAAGATTAATGAAGCTTACTTTTATAGAAAATAAGCCCAATTATAATAGATTTAGCTACAATGAGATAAAAAGGTAACAAAGCAGAATATTGATGAAGAAATGGGGAGAAATAAAGCAGAGGATAGCTCTACTATAAAGAGAATGATTTTATTGTATTTATTTTACAGTTTATATGTTTAAAGTGGATTTTTTTGTATGTGGAATTGCTCCTCTTGGTACAGATCTAGTCATGCTTACCTATGACAAACCTTCAGAACAGGGAACCATTCAGGTTTGTGTAACAGTTAAAAAGGTCACATTTGTCCAACCTCATGGAAACCTAATGAATTGTTTAAACATTAATCAAGATTCTATTGAAACTTTATATGCTATCAAGTCAAGATTTTTTGCATATGACACATATCGACAGTATAAATCCATGAAATATGTCATTTAAGTCTTTTAAAGCTTCAGTATTGTAATTTCTAATATCAATATGTTGTATTTGGAGTCAATTTTTTTTATACATTGGTTAAATTTACAATTTGATAGAAAATCTATTGACACGCGTAGAGTAAAAGTTGAAAAGATTCTTTCCAGAAAATATGATGAAAGCATTGAAATGACAGACATATAGACCAATAAGTATAATCAGTAGATATTCAAATAAAGCAAAAAACACAAGAACGACATAGTAATAACATACCCAGCATAAAGGTCTGAAATATGTAAAAAGTTACCTTGTCTGTTAACAATGGTTAAACACTTTTTAAATTTGAAAAATATTTGTACAAAAGGAGAGTTGAGAGTATACGTCAAAGAGACAGCAACCCAATGATATGTTTCTACTTCAGGATAGTTCCTCCAAACGTCCACAGTTACAGCTAGTAACACCACACATGGATGATTTTGATGTCATTTCCAGTGATGCATTGTCTCTACGTGGTTATGAAGAATATAAATGTAATGATTATCATCTAGGTAAATATCCAGTTACCTCGTTTGTATGAAAATATACATGTTATACAGAAAATAAATCAATAATTTCAAAATAAATCAATGTTTAGTATTTGTACATTCAGTAGTTAGTGATGGTTTTTTCGTGTAATAGTCTACACTCCAGTTTTCTATTGAATATAATTACTTGTAAATTTGCCTGGAACATAAATTAAGTACTAAAGTACATAGCATCAGGTTTATAAATTGGTGCTAAGGGATCTTGCTGTGAGTAATGTTTAAGAATGAGAGACATAGACATGCTTATTCTGTTAGAGACAGAATATTTACCTGAAGAAATCTTTGTTTTGTAGAATGTTTACCTGAGGGAATCTTTGTTTTGTAGAATGTTTACCTGAGGGAATCTTTGTTTTGTAGAATGTTTACCTGAAGAAAACTTTGTTTTGTAGAATGTTTACCTGAGGGAATCTTTGTTTTGTAGAATATTTACCTGAAGAAATCTTTGTTTTGTAGAATGTTTACCTGAGGGAATCTTTGTTTTGTAGAATGTTTACCTGAGGGAATCTTTGTTTTGTAGAATGTTTACCTGAAGAAAACTTTGTTTTGTAGAATGTTTACCTGAGGGAATCTTTGTTTTATAGAATGTTTACCTGAAGAAAACTTTGTTTTGTAGAATGTTTACCTGAAGAAAACTTTGTTTAGTAGAATGTTTACCTGAGGAAATCTTTGTTTTGTAGAATGTTTACCTGAAGAAAACTTTGTTTAGTAGAATGTTTACCTGAAGAAAACTTTGTTTTGTAGAATGTTTACCTGAGGAAATCTTTGTTTTGTAGAATGTTTACCTGAAGAAAACTTGTTCTATATTGTTAGTCCTAAGGATATAATTGTTTCTAAATTAAGAGATGAGGATGATCATGTGACATGGCTGATTGATCATGAACAGTATGAGGTAGGAATTATTAATTATAACCATTCTCATAAAAGGGGGTATACTGGTTTACATCTGTCTGTCCTGTGTTTCCATCCGTCTGTCTGTCCCAGAAGTTTTTGGTCACATTATTTTCAGGAACTACAAATCAAAGCTTCCTGGTATTTGGTATCAAGCTCCATGTGAGTCTGCTATACTTTTTAAGAATCATTGCTCATCAATTTCTTATTTACAGAATACTTAATGACCATGTATAAAATTTTTGTCACATTTTTATACGCCCGTTTACAGGACGTATTCAGGTATACCATTGTCCGTCCGTTTGTCCGTCCGTCATCAACATGTTGGACAATAACTCAAAAACGCTTTGACCAATTTGCATGAAACTTTGGTGAATTGTTTATATTCATTGACGTGAGCTCCCTTTCGATTTTTATAAATTTTAGATTTTACGTTTCCGAGTTATTGGGTTTTATTTATTAAAAAGGGTGATTTTCCAGTTTTCAGACAATGACTCAAAAACACTTTCACCAATTTGCAAGAAACTTTGGCAAAGGAGTAGGGGCAATAAGGCTCTTATTTGGACCAAATATTTGTGAGAATTTAAAAGTTATCATACATATTCGTAAATTTGTCATAAAAAGACTAAGGTAAAAGTTAATTCAGAAAATAAAAACAAATTTCATATTTAATGAGTAACCATGGCAACAAACATTGACGAAATTTGTATATTTGGTAAAATTTCTTGATTTTCCTTGTTTTTCATCAAATTTTAAGTATAATTTAGACTGGTAAAGTATGTGCGCACCCAAGAAACAACTTCATATTTGGTAAGATTATGTCAACAGTTATAATAAAGCTTCTCTTAAATTATTTTGTTGTTTCTTGGCTGCGCACGATGTTTCCGCAATGGAAATAATGATGGAAAACTTCATGAATTCTGTATTTTTCATTGTTTGCATGAAAACGGGACATATTATGACGTAATTGTGACGTCATCAGATAACAAATCTCATGTTTTTCATTTATATTTCTTGACTTTATACATTTCCAATTAGTATGTGGAAATTTGAAACGGTTGTCAAACATTTTATTTTCTTGGGCCAAAACTGTGCCTTAATGCCCCTACTCCTTTTTAGCTCACCGGGGCCCGAAGGGCCCCATGTGAGCTTATGCCATCACTTGGCGTCTGTCGTCGTCCGTCGTCTGTCGTCGTAAACTATTTCAAAAATCTTCTCCTCTGAAACTACTGGGCCAAATACCTTCAAACTTTAACTAAATGTTCCTTAGGGTATCTAGTTTATAAATTGTATCCGAAGTTTTGATCCATCGACAAACATGGCCGCCATGGCTAAAAATAGAACATAGGGGTGGAATGCAGTTTTTTGCTTATATCTCAAAAACTAAAGCTTTTAGAGCAAATCTGACATGGGTAAAATTGTTCAGTTGGTCAAGATCTATCAGCTCTGAAATTTTCAGATGAATCGAACAACCCATTGTTGGGTTGCTGCCACCGAATTGGAATTTTGCAGTTTTTTGTTATTATTTTGAATATTATTATAGATATATATAAACTGTAAGTGGCAATAATGTTCAGCAAAGTAAGATCTACAAAAAAGTTAATATGACCATAATTGTCAATTGACCCCTTAAGGAGTTATTGCCCTTTAAAGACAATTTTACACAATTTGTTCATCAAGTTTGCTAACATTTAAAAATCTTCTCCTCTGAAATGCAGGTGAGCGATTCAGGCTCTTGTGAGCCTCTTGTTTTATCTATTTATTTGAGCTCCCTTTCGAGTTTTATGAATTTTCGATTTTACATTTTAGAGTTATGGGGTTTTATTAGAAAATGACGCAGTCAATTTTCTTTTACCATTGACCAGACTTCCAACCCGCATTCGGAACTCGGTTCCGTATTTTACATACTTAAAGTAAATGTTATGCTCATACATTGGTAAAAGAAAGACAACTCCAGCGTTGCAAATGTACATTTTAAAATAACAAGACGGTGTTGTCTCCCTTCAATATGTCTTATGGCGGTCAATAACCTTCGTGACCGTCGGACAATTTTCAATCACATTGTTGGAAATACAACTGGAACAGAATTAAATTTGTAATTTTCATTCTTTAATTTCTTAACCTGTCTTCCTGCCAACTTGCACGATTCAGGCGTGAAATACTCGATTTTGACCCCTTGTCACGATTGCACGATTGTGATCGTGTAAAAACCTCTAAACCACGATTTTGTTAAATTCTACTGTTCCCAATATTTCGAACTTTTCTCAAACTTTTCCCAAGGGAGACAACTGTTATCAGCCAATCAAAATCGTTGTTTCTCCTGATCTTTGGGTATTGTAAACTGCAAATGTGCTAAATTTTGAACTTGTTAGGAACTCAGAATATTGTAGAAATCGTGATCATGGCTGACCAATTTCAATTACAAGAAGCTTCTTACACAGCTTAAGAAGTAAATCATGACTGATTGACAAAGTTCAAAGATACAGTTCAACCATAAACATAATAAACAGTATATAATGGACAAATTTTACACTTATGGTAACAGATCATACATGTTGTCATTCTTGAAATTAAATTACCAAATCAATTAAAGTACAATGTTCTATCTTTTAATTTTCACAAGGAATCAGATATATTTCCTTCTTTGTGCATATTTTTATATTTGAAAAGTCAACAATCACTTTAATATTCCTGCGACCAATAATCTGATAATCCACCTTTAAGGTTCATCTAATATACACCAACACAAATGGCTGTGAAATTTTCTCTGAATGCAGACAAAACTGTGTAATTCTAATAGTTTTAAATCCTGGCAGCACCTGGCCACAACTCCTCTTTTTCCTGTGGTACCTGAAAACAATAAACCGGTTTGGTACATTGTTGAGGTCTGAAAGTGACTTATAACTGCCAACAGCCACATTATTTGGACTCTGGTAGATAGTTTATCAGACTGTTATCTCATTGGCAATCACACCCCATCTCCTTATTTTATTACGGGTCAATTATTTGAAATAAATGACTACGGTACTCAACATTAAATCATTTGAAAAAAAATAATTTTACAATAATTTATGTTGTCATTTTAAGATTTCAGTGTAAGCTTGCTTACTACAGCCTCTTCACAATGAAATTAAGTTGTATAGATGGTGTCACTTTGTTTATAATTGTGAAACTAGTATTACAATACTATTGTCTAAATCTACAGAAATTGATCATGTTTAGGTAACTGAAATAACAATGTGATGTTGTCACTAGGTCACCTGTAACTTATCTCTTGAATAAGGACTATGTTGGGTATAAGAGCTTTCTTACTACAGGCTCTTCATAATCATTTTGTTAAATAATTCTACAAATAACGGAAACACATTCACATATTACTTTGAATATTGTAGATTGTTCAGGTAGTCTTGAGCTATTTCTTTGTACAGCAGAACAACTAGTAGTTATTTTCACTTCACACACATATATATATATATATATCTTGACAAACAAAAAAAAACACTATAGATTGTGGAAACAATTCATATCTATTCTATCAGTCACCCTACCTACCATAAATTGAAACGTCGCCTAAGATTCAGTAGGTAAATTAAGTAAAAATAAAGACTTGTATCAAAAATATCCCAATATGAGAGACAATGGCGTCATTTTTACTTAGAGCTTTCAGCTCTTTGATTCATTAAAAAAGGAGGATTTTCCAGTTTTCGGACAATAACTCAAAAATGCTTTGAGCAGTTTTCATGAAATTTGGTGAATTGTTTATATCTATTAACGTAAGCTCCATTTCGATTTTTATAAATTTTAGATTTTTCATTTCCGAGATATGGGATTTTATTCATAAAAAAGGGGTGATTTTCCAGTTTTCGGATAATAACTAAAACATGTTTTGAGCAGTTTTCATGAAACTTTGGTGACTGGTTTTTATAAATTTATAAATTTCTGATATGACACTGAGGAGTAATGGAACTTTATTCTTTGAAAAAGTGACGGGCGTATCATGCGCTCATGGCACAGCTCTTTATTCATCAGAACTATAAATTAAGGCTTTCTGAATTTTGAAATCAACCTTCATGTCAACATGCTTAACAGTGTGTTGTTTTTTTGCATCCATCATTCAGCAACTTCCTGATTACCTAATACTTATAGCAGGGTATTATTAGTAGCAATAACCCACAGTTCAAATTGTTGTTTATATGAGAATGATATTAAAACTTGGAAATGAAAAATGGTTAAGAAACTTTTGTATTTAAATCTGATTTCTAGGAGGAAAGTTCTTACTGGCTTACTAGTATAGATAGTTGACTTTATTCAGCTTCTCATCATTAAAGTGTCAATGTTCAACTTGTATAAATGGCAAGGTATCATTGTCTACAATATTATTTGATTTATTCTTCACATAAGTTTTTAGCTTACTATAGCAGCCTGGTGTCCCAATCCAATAAAATTAAACACGAATTAATGCATAGAAAGTAGAAATAAACCACTATATTCCTTAGCAACTGTTTATAGATTTGTATAACCTTAAAAGCTAATGTTTATACATGTATGTGACGAAAATGTGTAACTCTTCTTTAATAGGAGGCATTGGCTGTGGTACAACAGAAAGAGAACACACTTCAGAAACATAATCTACAGGTCTGTAATCTTTACTTATACAAGAAGATGCCCGCGAAATCGCGGTACAATTGGGCAAGGGTTGAAACAAATAGTGTGGACACAGTAAGGATTTGGACACGGTTAATGCATTTAATTCTATTTCTTAAAAGAGATGAAAAGATAAGATAAGATATTTTATTCCAATTAAAGGGCCCATGAAGAGCAAAGTAATTTATTACAATGATTTGAAAATGACGAACATAATGCAAAAGACCCCATTCATCTCGGTTGGAAAATAAAAATATAAAATACCCTAAGAAAAGTGTGGAAAAGTGTGATTTTCTGTAGTTTTTCACCCTTTTAACTCAATAAGCGTATGAGCTACGTAAAATCCATTGACATGACCGAAAGGGATCAAAATGAGTAACACAATGGAAAAAATCCCATCTAAATCGGATGAAAAATAAAATCTAAAACACTTCATCAGTAATAAACCCCTCATGTATCTCAGAAACTGTTGACATACTCAAGTTGCAGAATCTTGTTAGCAATAAAAAAAAATTAAAATACATTGAAAATAAACAATCTGTATATGTTAACTGGAATCCGCTTGTACAAAGTGTAGTAGTCAGTTGAGAACCAGCTTATCTGTATATGCAAATATGACTTTGTGAATGTGAACAATACCCAAACGTCGACTGAGCATGTGCGAAAGCGTAGAAGACACAGATTGATAACGGTCTCCAAATTTGGATATTTTCTCAAAAATTGGCGTTTTCTGTGGAAAAAAGATTGTTTCAAAGACAAATTTAGGAAGTACAAAACACTACATTTATACGTCATATCACAAATATTTCTGACTTTGTATGGTTTCAGAGGAATTGCTGCTCAATGAAATCAGTCTCTTCCTTTAGTAGTATAGATTTTATAACATACATTTTGATAAATTCTCAATTGATAATTTCTGTGTTTTTACACAAACTAAGCTTCTAATCCCTTCCAACAAAGTCTTTGTAGACCCAATATATTGCTTCTCTGTGTATCTTTTGTTGTTATTTTTCCAGTGAAGGTCGTTGTAACAGGATGATGAATCACTCTGAAGGATATTAGACATTTTATGTTTGATTTTGCTTGGTCAGGAATAATTGTTTGGATCACTTATTTGTATACTCAAACCATCATTGATATTTCTGTAATTTTTTCCTAATAAGTGGCTGCAAACTTATAATACAATATCAATAATGCATTTTGAAAACCAAGAATAATGTTTTGATTTTTATAGTTCAAATATAAAACATAACTGGGAAGGGTTTGCACGCCTTCAAACTAGTTTAACCCAGCCACATTCTGTATGTGCCTATCCCAAGTCAGGAGCCTGTAATTCAGTGGTTGTCGTTTGTTGCTGTATATCATATTTGTTTTTCGTTCATTATTTTGTACATAAATCAGGATGTTAGCTTTCTCGTTTGAATTATTTTACATTTGTCATTTTGGAGCCTTTTATTGCTGACTATGCGGTATGGGTTTTACTCATTGTTGAAGGCCGTACAGTGACCTATAGTTGTTAATTTCTGTGTCATTTGGTCTCTTGTGGAGAGTTGTCTCATTGGCAATCATACCACATCTTCTTATTTTTATAATGTATCCTTTATTGTGTCACCTGACACTGTCCAGCTGTGATTACAGATAGGGATCACCTGTAGTCTTAGGTCATCAACAGTGTTGTAATCATCATCTTCCTTGTCATGTTGCAACTCCTTGAAAAAGGTTAAACAGGATTCAACCAATATTGCAAAGATTTTTCTTATAAAGGACATGAAGTTCTACACCTATTTAAATTTCTTATCTGAGTGATTCTTGGGATGTACTATACCTAAACATGGACTTCATAATCTGCTTAAAATAGCTAGGCAGAATTCTACCAAACTCACTAAGATTTTTCTACTGGATATGCAGTAGCACAACTGCTAATTAAATTTTTGATCTAATAGATTTTTGGAGTGCATTATAACAAAACATGGACTTTTCCATTTCTGTAAAATTATTTGAATATGACAGGCCACACACCTCTTCCTTTATAGACTTTCAAATTAAAAAAATATATGATTTGCAAGTATATATCAGATTATTGCATTATAATATTGAATATATTTTTTATCTAGTCATTAGGAAAGGATTATTTAGATTTTCTACTGAGTAAAAGAGAATTTGAAAAAGCAGCACAGCTTTGTGTGAAGATCTTAAGCAAGAATAAAGATAGCTGGGAAGAACAAGTCTATAAATTTGCAAAAATTAAACAGCTAAAGGTATGTTATAATCATGATTTGCAATAATGTGGATGGTAAGAATATTGTTTAGGTTAGCATTGCTCAAAAACATATTCCTTTGTGTAATGGCCAAAATATTTCCAAATATCTCATCCTATTATTACCTCTTGTACATACATTCCATGTCCCTCTTGTCCATTTATAATTGGAGTTTGTGTGATGATGCTGTGTGGATACAATATACAATTATGGCCTGTTGAAAAGGTGAATAGCCAAAATTGTCAACCTGAAAAGGTTATTTCACTGACAGCCCACCTAGAAGTGAAATAACTTTTTAAGGTTGACAATTTTGAATACTCATCACTTCTAAGTGGCCACAATTGTTTTATTATACCGAACATACAATGGAAGGTCCTTTTGAACCATCGAAGAAGCACTTACATTGTACTGTAGTAATAGATTGTCAAAACACTTACGGTAGAAAATTATTTGTGTCTTAGAACTTCTCGTATGCACAACAAAGGTAAACTCATTCATTAAAATATTGATGACCCTGAAAAAAAGACCACTTATGAAAGATATCCTTGGCACTAGATGCATTTCCAAGCCTTGTTTCCTCGTCACTTGATGGGGTTCTAACGTGATTGTTGCCATTTTGTTTACATATGTCTGTGACATCATTTTGATGGGAGATAACTTGTGTACAAATCAAGAAGCTCAAATGGTTTTGTACAGGTGATTAAAAGTGTTCTTCATTGCTGGGTGTAAATTTTTAGGGTTATGTGTCCATCCTTGCATCTAAACATGCTACCCAATAGAATTGTTCAACATATATGTAAGGCAAAAAAATAAATGATGTCCAATGGTTTAAGATGTATAAACCTTAGTATCTTCCAGTTATAAAGTGATATCACACAGATATGCTACTTCACAATAATTCTAGATGTTGCTGTTTTTTAGAAATAGTTATGCAGTTCATCCTTTTTCTGAGTTTCAATATTTGAATTGGATGGTTCGAATGTTTTCATAGAATTGTACCTTCTCTTTAATAACAACGACCTTTCTGTAACACCGGGCTGAATTTTTTTCCAAAAATTAAGTCTTTTGAAGAAATGAAATTCAAAATGTACCTTGGAAAAATGTTTTAACCAACTGGTACCCTGAATTGGATAAGTATGTTAAACAAAAATATTTTAAAGCTACAGAAAGTAAAAAGATTGCATTTGATATTTCAAGAATTGTAAATTATCAAGAAGAAAAAAAATCCATTAATAACCATTCACGTTTAAAAGCAATGAGCTAAAATATTTGACAACTTGATCAATATGTAGTAATTAATCAAACTACAATGGGGTAAAACAGTGGAGAAAATTTGTTTTATACAAAGACAAAAGAAATTATGGACAGTAAAAGATTTGTTCAGAAACAAGTGTACATATGAAACATAAAATATTCAAAGTTTCTGTGGATATTATGATAAATTATATGTAATTGTAATTCATTAGTTGTTAATTACAAAATGTATTTATTACATAACAATATTACAGGCCATTGCTCCTTATATACCAAGAGAAAATCCAGTATTAGATCCAGCTATCTATGAGATGGTTCTGTTAGAATTCCTTCTGTCTGATGCAGAGGTGAGTCTTGTTGATGGTCCTGCTAGAGTTCATTCTGTCTGATGCAGAGGTGAGTCTTGTAGATGGTTCTGTTAGAATTCCTTCTGTTTGATGCAGAGGTGAGTCTTGTAGATGGTTCTGCTAGAGTTCCTTCTGTCTGATGCAGAGGTAAGTCTTGTAGATGGTTACCGTAGAAAGGCTTGTATAGTCCGCGGTTTTATTCTCCAAAACTGGACCTCCCAGACGGGGTGCGGACTATAGAGTACAATAAGCAAGAAATAAGAGAAAAATTTCAATTTCGCGGGCGAGTTGGTTTGTTTACGTTCCGCCATCTTTGTTATTACATTGTAGAGGGCGCTCTTATAATTTTTCAAACTAATAATTTTAACTCATCCATATTAATAAGTTATTTCTATTCAATATCAAATTAATACTGATAAATATAAAAACTAAACCTTTCATTACAAATTTCTCGTTTCTTTTCAATGCATTGGTTGAAATAAACTGGTATCTGCTTGATTGAAACGATACAAACATAGTGAAAAAGACAACCGTAAACCAGCTTAGAATTTGTAAACTACAAAACGTAATCGGTTATTGTTCGTTCCGTTTTGGTGTTTCATACTGACTAATATGTTTGTATTAGCTTAAGACCCTTCAAACATTAATGTGATAGATATATTAAAGACTGTTTTACAAAAGGATGGAACTGTTTTACTTTCAAAGTTGTATTATAGTGATATCTGTTATGTACGGATTTCGACTCTCACCGGTTAATTTCTTCTTTTACACGTGCTTTTTAAACTTCCTGTTTAAACATACACAAATTTCTAAATTGTTTCTTAAGTGAATTAAACTTATTTTTACAATCATGAAGCGTTCTAGAATCATTTACAAGCAGTTTCAGCTTCTGTTTGATGATGGAAAACAGGTTTTTCCAAGAAAATACCGCAAACGACCGCACAGGATTTGAAATTACTGGAGTTTCATTAGACCTTTTCTAACAGTTACAAAAAGTTTTTTTACCTAAAATTTCGTGGGGAGAAGGGGGTGCGGACTATGTACCAGTGCGAACTATACAAGCCTTTCTACGGTATGCTAGAGTCATCTGTCTGATGCAGAGGTAAGTCTTGTAGATGGTTCTGTTAGAATTCCTTCTGTCTGATGCAGAGGTAAGTCTTGTAGATGGTTCTGCTAGAATTCCTTCTGTCTGATGCAGAGGTAAGTCTTGTAGATGGTTCTGCTAGAATTCCTTCTGTCTGATGCAGAGGTGAGTCTTGTAGATGGTTCTGCTAGAATTCCTTCTGTCTGATCTGATGTAGAGGTGAGTCTTGTAGATGGTTCTGCTAGAGTTCATTCTGTCTGATGCAGAGGTAAGTCTTGTAGATGGTTCTGCTAGAATTCCTTCTGTCTGATGCAGAGGTGAGTCTTGTAGATGGTTCTGCTAGAATTCCTTCTGTCTGATGCAGAGGTAAGTCTTGTAGATGGTTCTGCTAGAATTCCTTCTGTCTGATGCAGAGGTGAGTCTTGTAGATGGATCTGCTAGAGTTCCATCTGTCTGATGCAGAGGTGAGTCTTGTTGATGGTTCTGCTAGAGTTCATTCTGTCTGATGCAGAGGTGAGTCTTGTAGATGGTTCTGCTAGAATTCCTTCTGTCTGATGCAGAGGTGAGTCAGAGGTGAGTCTTGTAGATGGTTCTGTTAGAATTCCTTCTGTCTGATGCAGAGGTAAGTCTTGTAGATGGTTCTGCTAGAATTCCTTCTGTCTGATGCAGAGGTAAGTCTTGTAGATGGTTCTGCTAGAGTTCCTTCTGTCTGATGCAGAGGTGAGTCTTGTAGATGGTTCTGCTAGAATTCCTTCTGTCTGATGCAGAGGTAAGTCTTGTAGATGGTTTTTCTGCTAGAGTTCATTCTGTCTGATGCAGAGGTAAGTCTTGTAGATGGTTATGCTAGAATTCCTTCTGTCTGATGCAGAGGTAAGTCTTGTAGATGGTTCTGCTAGAGTTCATTCTGTCTGATGCAGAGGTAAGTCTTGTAGATGGTTCTGCTAGAGTTCATTCTGTCTGATGCAGAGGTAAGACTTGTAGATGGTTCTGCTAGAGTTCATTCTGTCTGATGCAGGAGGGAGTATTGTCAGAAAGTTAATGCTCCTTAATGTCATCATTTTTAAACCCTTTCTGCAGTTTTTTGAATTTTGAAAAAAAATATCCATTAAAATTAGGTAAAAAAAAATTGTTAGGATTAAATTGACATAAGAATTGACAGACTTCACTACAATGGCATCATTAATGCTTTTGATATATTACTGAAATATTTTTACTAAATGAGAGATTATAAGACAATAGCAGATTACTTTGATCTATTGTCATGTTTTGATAATTCTGTTAAAATGATTTTTTTTATATGAGAAAATTGGGCAGAATCAATTTGCGCCAATTACAGTTTTAAAAAGGTATCAATTGCGCCACTCTCTATTTTTCTGATGGTACTAATTGCGCCAATAAATGGAATCAAATTGCGCCACATTTACCTGTATATTTTTTTACCTTTATCATACATGTACCATGTACTATAATCAACCTATCCACTTTAGATTAAACTGAACACTCATCAAAATTAAGAAAACTCACCAATAAATAAATTGTTCAGTAATAAAATAGTTTTTTACATGAAAAGATGTCTAATATATCGTTCAAGAAAATAGAGTATGTAGAGGAAAACCTGTCATCGTTGTTGAAGAACACAAATTCCGTCAGGCATTTGTTAAGAAAAAGGGAGAAATTAAATGGAGATGTACAGTTAAGTCGTGTTGTGATAGGCTACATGTGTATTTACAGATGAATCTTGTAAAGTTATTTTGAGTGTGGAATTATAAAAATTAGAAGAAGTGGTATGATTTCCAATGAGACATCTCTCCACAAGAGACCAAGTTCATAAAATTGGCGAAATTAGATGATTTTTTTTATTGGCGCAAATGATACCTATAGTTTTTAAAATGAAGTGGCGCAGAAGAAGCATTGGCACAAATAAGTTGTGGCACAAATGTGTTCATTTTTGGCACAAAAAGATATCGCCCAGAAAATTTTATTTGATTAAATAATCATTACAGAGATTTCTGCAATTGGTGCGGGATTGGCCATCACATCTATATAAAGTACAAACAGTTATAAATGCCCTGCTGGACAGACTTGATAGAGATCGTGGAAATACATACTTAATGCGTGCTCTAGGAGACTTGTAAGTTAAATAGATTACTGACAGTCGATTGGGCTAAAAGGAAATTATCTCCCTATGACATTTTAATAAGTTTAAAGTTGTTGCATTTTAAAATATTTTGAAGTGCAGTCTGATACTTTTCAGGCATAATAAAGAAACAGTTGAATATTTCTGTGTAAAAGTTTTTTTATTATCATTTTGATTTTTGGGCAATTTTTTTTCTTTTCATTATAAAAGAACAAATTTAATAGATATTATATTCTGTAGGACTTGCTTGTATTATGTCTGCAAAGATTTGAATTGCACTTCAAAATACAAGCAAAATACAGACATTTTATTGAAAACTTGCCAAGGGAGGTAATTTTTATAGTCCGATTGAACTCAAATAATCTAGAATCGTATATGTGCGGTAACTGTTTAAGATGAATTTCAATGATACAGTGAATTAGGATCTGTATGAATATAAATGTATATAGAACAGTTATTCTGATCCTGACTTTTTGTGATGTCAGTGAGAATAGGAGGTAGCTAACATTTTAGAATATACCAATATATAAAAATTACAAATTTCTTACTGGTATAGAAATGGAAAACACAATCTGTGAAATATTTTAGATAAGTAATAAATATTATACATAAATTTATGCATTCTGCTACAAAATGATGTATAAGCTCTTGTTTGGATTATCAATAATTCAAGTTAATTAATTTTTCTGAAACCCTCATCATATATAGAATATAAAATACTGATGACTTAAAGGTTAAAATTACTGTTAAAAGGACTATTATAGACTATTTTGTAATTATTTTAAAATTAAACATATTTTTAATCTATAAATATCTTTTTGTAGATATTCATATGAACGTCAGTTTGATAAAGCACTCAGTATATATTTAAGGTAAGTCTCATGGAGTATGGAGGTGGTAGAAAGTTTCCCTGTATTTGAGGTTTATGCTCTTGTCTTCAAACACAATAAACTCTTTTTACTATTACTGATTTACCCATTACATATGATATATGACTTAAGTGAACTCTGATGGAAGGATGTTTTCCAATTGATGGGCAATTTTTCAAAATCATATTGAAAGGAAGAAAGTTTGGTTTTGATATAAACACTTTATACTTAACAGACACCTAGGGATCATGTATATTTTATTCCTGTGTTTGGTTCTGTGCACTTAATTCATATCATGTAGATTGTTATAATACCAGTTTCTTCTACTTCTTTGTTAATACCACAATACCACAGCATTAGTAGTTCCACTTTTGTCAGAACTCATATAGAAGCACAGAAGTCACCTGATGGAGTTACATTTTTGTATTGGAACTGTGTTGATCAGTTGAAAGTTAAATAGTAGTTTTATATTCCCAAGGTTAACTAGCTACCGTTTAAGGAGTTTATGCCACTGCTTATTGGCTGGTTATTTGGCTTTTGTATGACAATTATTTATTACTTTTCAAAGACAGCAGTGAATGCTCAGGTAATTTAAGACTTATTCTATTAAATGCTTGATAAAAAAATTTCTTTTCTTTGATAGGTGGTTAATTAATATTTCTAGAATTACTATTAAGTTATAACGTAAACCAAATTATTTTCTATTTTTCTGATTGCTTTCTGACCGTTTTATCTACAGGTTATTTCACAGCAATTTATTTATGAGATTTTCTAACTTTGTTCATGTATTCATGCAATATAAGTTCCGTTGACATATTCATTACTATGTATGTTTACAATTTTTGTCTACTCCCAAAACTTGTGAAAACAAGTTGGTTTACAGTACTTAAAATAAGAATATACTGATATGTGAAATGAAGCAATAGTTTTAAAAAAGTGTTTCAAGTTTGTGCTACTCAGAAAATAAACCAATGTGGAGTTTTTGTAAATTTCAGATTAAAGCATAAAGATGTATTCCAGTTGATTCACAAACATAATTTATTTGGTTCAATAAGTGATAAAATTGTACAACTAATGGAGTTTGATAAAGAACAAGCTGTCAGTATGCTGCTAGATAATATGGATAAAATACCGGTAAAAATATTGAAAATATATGTCTATAACTGCTTTCATGTAGAGTTATACTCTTTTCCATCATTCTCTCACCTGTCCACAAAATGGCGGGGACTTTATATTTGTTGTATCTGCAGATATTGAGCTAATGTTTGGTATGAAGTAGCTTAATGGGTAATTATAGTGTAAATTACTATACCATTCGCTTTGAAATAATTACCATCAATGATATGAAGTATTGGAGTTGTCTGCATTTGTTCAGTATAATGGGTAGGTAAAATCTAGGTTGCATTTTATTTGGAGACGCCATCTTTTGATAGAAACAACAGCCTTAATATAAAAATAAGAAGATGTGGTGTGATTGAAAATGTAGATTTGAGTAACTAAAGGTCACTGTATGGCCTTCAGCAATGATCTAAACCCATACTGTATAGTAAAGTAAGCTATAAATGCCCTGAAATGACAAAATGAAAAACAATTGAATCAAGAAAAAGAACCAGCGACCTGATTTATATACAAAACAATAAAGGAAATACAAATATGATAGATTTCGACCAACAACAACCACTTAATTACAGGCTCCTGACTTTGGCAGGCCTCTTGAAAAATGGGTTATTTGAGATTTGATATGAATAAAAAGAGGGATATACTTCAAGGAAAAATCAACCTCACAACACAAAATACCTGAAAGACATCTAGAGGTTAACACAAGGTCTTCATCAATATACAAGTGTCAATGAAATATTATCTTATATTATTAACTGCCTGAGTGGAGAAAAGTTGTGATGTATAGGTGGGAGGTTAAAGGGTCATCTGTTTCATGCATTTTAGACACTGTTTTAATCCATTTGAAATCATACCAACTATTAAATACCAAAATTAAAGTTAGTTTAATTTTGGTGGTTTATGGCCCATAATTCATTTAAAAAAATTATATTTCACAGTTTTCCTGCAAACATTTTTAATTTATAATAGATAAAATGACTTCATTTTTTGTTATCAACTTAACATGGATGAGTTGTAATGTATGAGCACTTTTCAGATCTCTCACACATCTTCTTCCTGTCTACCTATTATTTGAAGTTTTCAATATGTTGAATGAAATTTAAAAAGTTTTCATCATTCATTTCTCCAGTTCTATTTTGCAAAGAATGATTTCATATCTTGTCAACAGCTTGGCATTGATGGGTATGACTAGTTTTGGGATCTGTCAGACATCTAACTGCCCTTTTGCTGATACTTTAAAATAGAAGAAGTATAGGTATGCCTAGCACTACAATGCATGCATTCTTGTTTTCCTTTTTTTCAGATGGAAAAAGTAGTAAACCAGTTAGATAAAACACCAGAGTATCTGTTTATAGTAAGTATGATATACTGAAATTGTTTATTTCAATACATGTATCACATTCAGTTAGATGTGTGAAAGTTTAATTATAACATTTAGATGTGTGATTTTATTTGTAAAAATAATGTGGTTCTTCTGTTGACACAACATTTTTTTTCATTGATAATTCTTTTTGATGGATTTGTTTATTATTCAATTTAGCATTTAAGCAAAATTTTTCAAATTTGCATGAAATCAATCTTAAAGGAAAAGGTTCCATAAGGACCTAAGGTGGTGCTTACTTCTAGCTAAGATTTTGAATTTGGATTTAATTACTATTTTCACAATGTATCATAGTTAAAACAATGACAGGATAGAAACTTACTCTCTAAATTTTCATATCAACATTCTTTTTATGACATCATATTGTAAATTTTTATATATATTATTGATGATGTGACCTTATACAAATTATATTTTTCAGTATTTAGATAGAATTTTCCAAAAAGATCCCCATCTGGCTGAAAAATATCATGGGAAGCAAGTGAAACTCTATGCAGAATATGCACCAAAGAAGTTACTTCCCTTTCTAAAGAGTAGTACACATTATCCCCTCCAGACGGCATTGGAGGAATGTGAAATGAGGAATCTAATACCAGAACAAGTATTCCTATTAGGTTTGTTATTTATTTTTTTATGTTTGTATAGAAAAAGTGAGAACATTACCTGTCATATGAAAGAGAACATTATCAAATTGTCATTTGAACTCTGTTGGATAGTTGTCTCACTGGCAATAATACCATAACTTTTTATTTTTATACTGGCATATAAAACAAGATAGGAAATTATTTATTTGTTTTTAAGGTTAAATTATTAAATATTCTGAAGTTTAGAGATATCCTCAGTTCATGATTGATTTTAAGTCAAATTTAAAAGGGGGTACACACTAAAGGTCATTAATTTCCACTTACTTTCCCTTTCTGTCCTTCTTGTGACCTGATTGATATTACCCTACATCCCAGTGCTTGTATCCCTTACTCTTTGTTCTTACTTTCTTTTCTCTAAGTACATGATTCTTATACTCCTTTGCTTCTGCTTTTTCTCATCTACAACCTCTTACCATCTTTCCCGTCGCCTACATCACACAGCTCAGTCGCTCAGTAATTCTAGTATCACGGCTTTGAGACGTGAGCAGGTATTATCCGCAAAGTCATAATGTGTGAGGAGATGTTATCAAGTTTCCTTTTGTCAAACATAAAACTGTCTAAGGGAGGGGAAAAAGACCAGTAATAGAAGGATAACAGATTATGAGGTTTTCTTTGTATAGATGTCAGAAAATATGAGCTACTTGACACAAAGTGAAGCTTTTAAGCTTGTTCACTTGCCAAAAAGGTTAACTCTGTGGCTTATGGCTGATATTTTACGATATCAATTTGTAGAAAACCCGATAAAGTATAAATATAAAATGATTCTGAAGATGTAACATGAAAATATCTGAATATAAGACTTGATAATTAACCTGTTTGTTGTTACAGGTAGAATGGGAAATGTGAAGCAGGCATTAAAACTGATAACAGAAAAACTTCAAGATGTCAACAGAGCCATCGAATTTTGTAAAGATCATAACGAACCAGAATTATGGGAAGATCTCATACAGAGTAGCTTAGATAAACCATGTAAGATCTCTTGATGATTAGCTTAGATAAACCATGTAAGATCTCATACAGAGTAGCTTAGGTAAACCATGTAAGATCTCATACAGAGTAGCTAAGATAAACCATGTAAGATCTCTTGATGATTAGCTTAGATAAACTATGTAAGATCTCATACAGAGTAGCTTAGGTAAACCATGAAAGATCTCATAGAGTAGCTAAGATAAACCATGTAAGATCTCTTGATGATTAGCTTAGATAAATCATGTAAGATCTCATACAGAGTAGCTTAGATAAAACATGTTAGATCTCTTGATGATAAGCTAAGATAAACCATGTAAGATCTCATACAGTTTGCTTAGATAAACCATGTAAAATCTCTTGTGATTAGCTTAGATAAACCATGTAAGATCTCTTGATGATTAGCTTAGATAAACCATGTAAGATCTCTTGATGATTAGCTTAGATAAACCATGCAAGATATCTTAATGAATAGCTTAGATAAACCATGTTAGATCTCATATAGAGTAGCTTAGAGAAATCATTTAAGATCTCATTCAGAGTAGCTTAGATAAACCATGTAAGATCTCATTCAGAGTAGCTTATATAAACTATGTAAGATCTCTTGATGATAAGTTTAGATTAAACATGTAAGATCTCTTGATGATTAGCTTAGATTAACCATATAAGATCTCATTCAGAGTAGCTAGGATAAACCATGTAAGATAATGATTAGCTTAGATATATTTCGATAAACCATGTAAGATCACTTAATGACTAGCTTAGATAAACCATGTATAATCTCATACAAAGTAGTTTATATAAACCATGTTAGATTTCATTCAGGGTATCTTAGATAAACCATGTAAGATCTTATACAAAATAGCTTAGATAAACCATGTAAGATCTCATACGAAGTAGTTTATATAAGCCATGTTAGATTTCATTCAGGGTATCTTAGATAAACCATGTAAGATCTCATACAAAGTAGTTTATATAAACCATGTAAGATCTCATACGAAGTTGTTTATATAAACCATGTTAGATTTCATTCAGAGTATCTTAGATAAACCATGTAAGACCTTATAAGAAGTAACTTAGATAAACCATGTAAGATGTCATACAGAGTTAAGGACTTAAATTCGTTTACTGGACATTATATCATAAATCTGACTGACTTTTTAAATATCTTATATTTACTTTTTCAGTTTTTATAAAAGTATTACTACACAACATAGGAACACACGTAGATCCCATTATACTAATAGATAAAATTCAGGAAGGTATGGAAATAGAGGGACTCAGAGACTCACTTGTCAAAATATTACAAGATTATCATCTACAGGTAAATCATATGGACAGTTACAGATATTAAAACATCTTATGTGTTGTATAAATAATCTTTTAGTCTTTGAAATACTGCATGTATATTGTAAATATAGAATAACCATACATTGTCTCGAAATGTAAATTTTATTTGTACAAGGCTTAGAAACTGGTAGAAAGCGAGGCTGTGCCGAGCATTTCTACCTGTTTTGAGCCGAGTACAAATAAAATTTATATTTCGGGACAATGTATGATTATTCTTTATATAATGCAACTCCTACAACTGTTCCAAATGAAATATTTAGGGTAAAAACCATCATTTTTTAATTTGGAGCGGACGATGTAAAATTTCCGCGAACTTGTATGTTTTATTGACGTCATAAATAAATTTTAATGGTAACTCATTGTTAACGTCATAAACAAGCCGATATACGGTCAGTGACCGTATATCACAAATGAATATAGGGTCAATGCAATTTGACTGCGCAAATAGCACAGCTGCAGGATCTAAAAAAATATTATCCTTCATACTTATTTTTAGAATGTTTTATAATTATTGAATTTTGAAATTTGGTTCAACATGTATTGTTCACCTAGGTGTGCATGTACATGTATAAGATAGATGTAGTTAATCCATAATATGCACAAGTTCCCTGTGCTTAAAAAGTGTTTCAGGAATAATCTTCATGTAACAGGTGCATTCAAGACAAAAATTTTGGAAAGGCAAAAATATAAAATTTTTATGAATCAAAAGGCCTGAACAGAAAAGCCATACCCATCTAAGATCAACTTTGCCTGAGGGAGCTGTAACCTTGGTTGAGGGTAATAGCATCACACACTGTATCAACCCTCTACAATATAATCCCGTGAATAGAGCTCTCAGGATTATATTGGTGTCTTGGATTGATACACGTGTGACATTTACAAAGTCATATAGAATAGCTTAGTAAACATGGTAAACAATTCAGCCATTATTTTTTATTTTTGTTTTTCTACTCAATAGATATCATTAAGGGAAGGCTGTAAGAAGATATTAGTAGTTGACAGTTTTAATTTACTGGACAGATTAATAAAGACTCAGAAGAAAGGAATAGCTGTTAGCAGTAAGTAAAATATAATCGTGTTGTGTAAGCTATCATATGCTTTATCAGTACACAATAGGAAAATAGTTCTTCTATAGTAATGAAGTAGATACTTTGTAGAAAAATTGTCATATATCCACTGCCAAAAGCAAAAGAAAATCTGGGGTATTACAATTTTCTTCATACAAATTAATAGAGGATGCATCACCTTCATCTGTTTGCACTATTTTATGCTATGTTTTGTCCATTTCCCCATTAATCTGAATCAAACTGTTTCTGGATCATTTTCAACATGGCATCTTTTATAGATTAGAAGTTTTATACCTTGAATACATGTATTGTGAAATTGCTAAACTTGATGCATACAGCAGGAAAATTATAACAAGGTTAAACTGTTTATTTGATATCTTTGCTCATTGTGAGATTTTGAAATGTGTCTAAATTAAAAAGAAATGTAGGAAACATGCAACCTCTATAAAATTACATCCCCCCCATTAATGGGACAGATGCAGACCTTCTGTCAAAATTAGATATGATTGCCACCAAATTTTTTATACTCTCTGAAAGTCTTGAAAGACCTGTTATATAATATGTCAGCTCTCCAGAAGTTGTAGGATATTGTTACAAATGTTTATTTGAATCTGCAATGTAAAAATGTCTGTGTAACTGTATATCCTTTTCTTTAAACTTCACAAATACTTTCTAATCAAGGATTATTGCATTTAATAATAAACAATCTTGGTAACCAATACCTAATGATATGCATATGTTATCAAAGTGATCTCTTTTTCAAGTTCGATATAAATAAATTTTCTATCAATTTAATACAGAGAGAGAAAATAGTTTTATCATTATCAGCAATTACAGATTTTATCTGACTGATAAATAGAATTAATCTTTCTACAGTTAGACAAAATTTCTGTTTGCATTTTCAGATTTATTTGGCCTCATGTCAAAAGCAAATAAAACTTTTATGGTTGATACTCCTATTTATTGTGTAATTTTAGGTGCATCAATGTGTAATGTTTGTCAGCAGAGAATAGTTGTTCTTGGTAAGTGAAGTTTTATAGTTGTATAAGTAAGTATCAAACTTACATTAGAATGAAATAATTAATTGTGTTTAAATAAAGGGTTCTCGTAAAGGAGCGTACACATTTCCGGGACACATACATCACCAACGTGTCAGCGGGACATGTCCTGATAACACTAGCAAAATCCTGTTATCATCAAGTTTATAACCTTCACCTATCAAAAAGTATCAGAAATCGTGCTTGTTGTCAGTATTTTTTAACCAGAAATTGACTTTTGTTTTCATTCATTGATTTGTGTAAAGGTATTCCTGGGAGAGCTGTAAATAAGTGATGTAATCTATCACATGGTTCACTTAAATTAAAGGGATAAAGATGGAGAGATGGAAATTTGTTAACCTTGAGCACATGTTATTGTTTTTCATTGTAGATATGAGATATGCAAGTGATGTTATTGTGTTTCATTGTAAACATGCATTCCATGAAGATTGCCTACCAGTTAGGGGTGTGGTAAGTGTTTTTAACTTTCCCTTTTATAATTCATGTATAATGCTTAATCCTAATAAAGTTACAATCAACACATGATTTAGTTTTAATCCATAGATGTTCCAAATAATATAGATAGTGGTAGCCTGCTTGCCTTGAATGCAGAAAATTGTGGATATGATCCCCAGCTGCATCATAACAAAGACTTGTAAAAATTGGTATTTTGAACCATCCTCCCTACATTGCTCTTTTTAACAAAAAAAAAATCAATTTTGGAAAAACAAAATTTCAGGTCAGGTCAACTGGGGGAAAAAATAACTGCAAAGAAATCCTTCCATTTTGGAAAAACAAAAAAGGTCAGGTTAACTAGGGGAAAATAACTGCAAAGAAATCCATCAATATTTTACTTTGAACAAAAATAACAAAGTACATAAATATAGTAAAACATTCTTGTAATTAATATTTGTACTTAAAGTTCTTTGTTAGAATAAAAAAAAATCTTCATATTATACATTAAAATTGATCATTGTTTATTACTTACATCAAAAGTAACTCATAATTTTGATTGTGTACTATTTCATGTTAAATATGAAGTGGTAATGGACAGCTTGTTACTGATTGTATAAGTGATATATGATAGAATAGTCACGGACTGCAAGCTACTGATTGTACTAGTCATAATGATATATGACAATAGGGATGTTTCTTTTACAGAATAGCTGTCCTATATGCAGTTCACAGAAAAGAGCACCTGCTTTTAAATAGAATGAACTATTGAAGCATAATTAACTAGTATTTAAGTATATAAAGCATTGTTTTAACATCAAAATAGCTTGAACATGAACATAAAAATAAAATGTGTTTTTATTAGACCATATTATATACATATTTTTGGTATGAACTCTTGTTCCATAAATATCAGAACATGAGGCCGATTTATTTGCTTACATGTACATAATATGTTTCTTTTGCAGTCATTATATTGTTATAAATAAATATCTAAAGGCAATAATTTATTATATATATTACAGTAGCTAGCCTCCATTTAAATCAGTTATTCTACCATTTGAGTGTAATGTTTTGTTACCAACTGAACCATTAAATTTGCAATTTATAATGTAATATAAAATTTGTAGCTTTTAGGCTTCAAAGCATGTCTTTTGTGGCCACTTCATTAAAAAATCACAAAAATTTTATGTGCTGTATTTTGTTACATTGAACCAGTTATTCATGTAGATGATATTTGAACTGTTAATAAAATTTATAGATTATAATATTATTTATATGATCTCTGTATTGTTTATGACGGTTTTGTTTATATTCCCAGTTACCATTCTGCATATTCTGTTCATATTTTACAAATAAAAAAAAAACTTTATGCTTAAGTGCTGTGTTTAATTTTGTATTATTTTGAAAGCCATGACTTTTATGCCTGTAAATATATATATATATATATATATATATATTTACAGGTCTATGATGAATGATTATTTAAATACTCTTGAATTTCCACAGGTCTTTTGATCTTTTAGAATGAGTACATATGATAGATAAGCGATATTTGCATCTCAACTCCATATTTATTGTCTAGATTTTATTATTAGTCCCCTACTGACGAAGTCGAAGGGGTCTTTAGGTTTGCACTCCTTCCGTCTGTCTGTCTGTCTGTCAGTCCGGCAAATCAGTTTTCCACACTTTTTTCCTTCATGCTTGAAGATATTGATTTGATATTTGGTGTATTGTTTTATCATTTCAAGTTACAGATCAAGTTCGAATTTTGTTCCGGTCTGATGATTTTGTGCAGAGTTATGGTCCTTGAACTTAGAAAATTCACTCAAATAATCAGTTTTCCTCACTTTTTTTCGTCATGCTTGAAGATATTGATTTGATAATTGGTATATAGTTTCATCATGACAAGTTACAGGTCAAGTTTGAATTTTGTTCCGGTCTGATGATTTTGTGCAAAGTTATAGTCCTTGGACTTAAAATTATTCACTCAAATAATCATTTTCCACATTTTTTTTCGTCATGCTTGAAGATATTGACTTGATATTTGTTATATAGTTTACACCATGACAAGTTATAGATCAAGTTAGCATTTTGTTCCAGTACAATGAATTTTTAACTGGTAGGGGACTATGTATTGCCAGGCAATACTCACAGAATGCTTGTTTCATTATATACCAGCCTTATGAAACCACTGGATAGTTCCTGGTGTAGCACAGTCAGTTGAGTGTATTATTATACCTCGGTATGCATTTTCTATATAAAATCAAATACGTATGAAAAAAAGAGAGGCGAAGGATACCAAAGGGACATTCAAACTCATAAGTTGAAAATAAACTGACAACACTGTGGCATAAAAAAAAACCAAACAGACAAACAACACAGAAAAGCAAAGACTGATGCATGGAATGATTTTAAGGTGTACATGTCTGTCTGGCAGGGTTCATCTGACCTTGACCTCATTTTCATGGTTCATTGTCAATATATAATTTCCATGGTTTGGTCTGTTTCTTTTATACTATAAGCAATAGGTCATCTATATTTGGTGTATGGAATGATTGTATTAAAGGTTTAAATGTATTTCCGTCTTGGTTTATCTGACCTTGACCTCATTTTCTTGGATCATAAATGTTTATGTGATACTTGTAGTAAAACTTTATATTTAGGACTATCAACATAAAATCAATGGTCAGTATAGTAGATGAGACATTTCAGCGTGTGCACTCTTGTATTTTAAAAATACAATTGTCGTAACTACTATCTCGTCCCTTTCCCTCGAATGTGACCTACCGAATTAGACGTATTACCGGGTTTGTACTTGCGTGAGCAACACGACGAGTGCCACATGTGGAGCATTATCTGCTTACCCTTCCGTAGCACCTGAGATTACCCAAAGGTTTTGGTGGGGTTCGTGTTACTCAGTCTTTGGTTTTCTATGTTGTGTTTTGTGTACTGTTGTTTGTCTGTTTGTTTTTTTGTTTGTATTCTTCTTTTTTAGCCATGGCGTTGTCAGTTTTTATTTTCCACTTATGAGTTTGAATGTCCCTTTGGTATCCTTCGCCTCTCTTTTGCAGAATAAAAGACTTCATCGTGACATTGTAGCAGTTTGGTTAATAGTACCCAATCTCTATATTTTCCCAAAGAAACCGAGAAATCTATTGATGGCTTTTTACTAGCAATCCATTACATTTTTTGTTGGTGTTTAACTCCACTTTCAGTGACCTTGGCAATATCATGTCGACTAGCTTTATTGGTAGAGAAGCCGGAGTATATTGAAAGAACCACCGACCATCGTCAGGACGACTTGTAATCCTTGTCAATTAAGATCAGAGTCTAACACACCTCATCAACCTGTTGTACCTTCAGGATAATAGTGTGCTCTAGTAATCAAACTAATTACTGTGCTTATACAAGGGTGTCAGTTTAAGTGTCATGCAAATGTTGTCACTGTTATTTACTCAGATTTCTCTCTATTACTCCTTGGAGGTGTGCCTACATTGGCAGAATTTATAGAGAAAACAAAGAAATATTGATGTCAACGTTAAATACGTTGATAAAGTAATACAAATAGACAGGAAATATGAACATTGATTTTTTTTTATCTGCTAACCGAGTCCCCGTGTTTCCATCTTGGTCTAGCTGCTGCATGTTGCGCTACTTCTCAGCATGTCATCCTACAAATGTCCGTTCTTATCAAGCATGTGCCTCCAAGTTTCCTTTGGTCTTCTTACATTTCTCTTTCATGGGGATGTTAATGTCCAGGCAATTCGACAGTCGTTCTATGAGTCCAAATCTTAACGTTGTTGGTGATACTGCTCATATTTACTTTTTGCAACATCTATGTGTTTGATATGGTCTCTGGTCAGAACGTTCTAAAGATTTTACTCAAGTTGCTGGTGTTAACCTTTAGCTTGTCTTCCTTCTCTTCCAATATTCTGCTCTATAGCAGTATTGAAATTACATTTCTTTTATATATATTTTAATTTTGGGTTTCCTGCTTTATTTGTAAGATGCCAATACTTTTCTGCTGTTGTATTGTAGCTGGTATTTCTAACAGATCCGAGGTAAGTGAAACTGTATACCAATTCTATTTCATCTTTGTTCAATGTAATAGCTATAGGGTGGATGTAATTCGCCTTGACACCCATTATTTTTCCTTTTCCTCTGATTAATGTGCAGATATCCTTTTTTTTCTTTCTTTCTTTTTCTCCTTGTTGATAGAATGGCTATATCATCTAGATTTTGCATCTAATATGACCAGTAAATACTTGGGCCTCGGTGGCCGAGTTTTCTAAGGTAGCTTATCTACTGTATCACAAGCCTGTCAACACTGATTGGTGTCGTGAGTTCGAACCCCGCACGTGGCAGGTGTGTTCTACTCCAATCTTAATCGACAAGGATTGTCAATTTTCCTGCCGAAGTTCGGTGGTTCTCTCCAGGCAAACCTCCACAACCATGAAAAAGCAAATAGTGCTGAAAGTGGCGTTAAACACCACAAATCATACTCTGTATCATACTTAATGAACAAATGAATACAAAAAATGAACCGAAAAAAACACACAAACCAGCATTTGAAGCACAGGCACTTGTCTCTGAAAACAAATTTCCTATATACCTTAATATTACATGTTATATTAAGGTATATGGGAATTTTTTTCAGAGACAAGTGCCTGTGATTTGAAGGTGTGTATCTTTTAGTTTCAACAATAGACTGTCACTTTTATTAGACAAATAATTTGGCTGTCAAGGCAAATAGTTTCACTGATAGTTTCTTCCAAGCGATAAATTTGCCATCTCGCCAGACACACAATCGCAGATACAAAATAGTCTTAAAAAATTGAGATAAATATGCGACCGTAATATGTTACCACAGTGATTAGTTAAGTAAATATGTTTACTAAATTTACTGACGAACATATATGATGATGTGACAAACAGACTGTTAATCGTCGTAAGTGTATAAAAGAACATGAATAATAATAATTTCATTGTGTCAACTGTCTCAGGGAATGCAATTCTGATTAGGATAAGTATGCTTCCAATTAAATTTGGTTTAAGTGATAGAAATCACCCCCAAAGCTCACGCGCGTGCACACACACACACACACACACACACATAACATATAAAAAACGGTATACGAGTTTTTCGGAATTTTGAACTACAGATTTATTCTGTTTACCAGTAGACGTAAAACTAAAGGCTGCTAAGTTTAAGTTAAAAGTTTATGCAGGTAAAAATGAATGTGTTAAGAAGTATGACTGATGAACATGATTAGTTATTACAGAATTGATAGAGTTTACTCATCTATTGAAATCTACAAAAAACATAGTTGCACTTTAAAAAGAATGTTGTTGAGAACTACACTTAACGACAGAAAAATAATAACTTCCATTATCCCTGTGTAAACTGTTTAGTACTTACATATAGAGTACATATCACTTAGTTGTTTCTATCAGCATTAAAATTTCCTTGCTACTTACGAGAAAGTTACTGAACAAAGTGTTCTTAAATGAAAAGATGAAATCATATACCTTTCAAAGTTTTAAGAATGCCATTATTTTACTGACATTATTGAATATCTATGTCACATGATCCCAGATATGTTCAATTTGTCGTGGCAACAAAATCCCGTCCTCCTTTTCTCATTCTTACTAGTACATCATCGAAACTGACTTATCGACTGATTTATATCCGTTATGAGCTACATGACAGGTGCTGCTTGTGTTACAGAACAATTGTAACAATATATCAAATAAGTAGGTTCTACGAAGCAAGACTCTTGATTTAGGTTTGGGAAGGAATGTGACAGGATTAGAAGTTACTCATGTGATTCTCAGTTTTAAAGTTATGTTGTTTCACTCTAATAAGGTGTAAGTTAATTTTTTTGGAAAGAAAGGGCAATGTTTAAATAGGAAATCGATCAATCGAGTATACGTTTACGAATAGTAGCAATTACTATTGTCTATTGTTTGGAATCGTGTATTGGATGTGTCTTTTTTTTAAGTATATATCATATCTCATTTTGGTATCAAACGCCACGACAGTCTCGTGGTAGAGTGCTCACCTTGAGTGTAGGAGGTCTAGGTTCGATCCCCGGACGGGTCAAACCAAAGACTTGAAATTTCATATTTGCTGCATCTCCGCTAAGTACGCGGTAATAAGGAGTTAGAGCAAAGACTGGTAACTCAGAGTCGAAATGATGTGTCCGTGAAGGATGACATGTCTGCCTGTCGATTCCTTTTTGACACAATTATCCAGCTGAGTCAAAATGACGTCGATTGAAGCAACTATAAACGTACGGCCTTCAATAATGGGAAAATCCATACCATGTAGTCAGTATAAAAGGCCCCGACATGGCAAAATGTGAACCAATTGAAA